ATTACCACCACATACCACTTTTATTACCACCAGATCACACCTCTATATCCCACATTTATGGGCAAAGACACCAAATTTGAAATATGTGTATATGAAACAGCTTTTGTAATTTTGAAAAAAAAAAATGAAGTAGGAATAGACATAACATTATGCACAGATTATGTCACATTCGTGGTCGCTCAAGTGTTTTTTAAATAAAGTTGGCAAAGCTGCGTAGTACAAGGGAGAAAACTCTGATAATTATTACGTCATGCTTATGCCTATAAATAAACACGGTGCTACAAACATACAAGTCAGTTTACGGTGTTAGTTTAATATTTTCGTACATGATAAATACCATTAGTATGTTCTGGTCGAGATTGTAATAAATATTTGGGTTTAATTTAGGCAATGATTAAAGTTAAGTAACTATTCCACACCATATTAGCGTCAAATGTAGTGTCTTAGGTTACTAAATCTACAAAACAAAGCTTTTCAATTTTAAACTACAGGTAGATTATCTTCGTTATCGGCACGGATCAGTCGCAGTAAAAAAAAATCAAATAGCATGCCCATAAATGTACATGATTGATTTATGTCATACGGAGTTACCTCCCCGTTACGCTTCAGCCAAGCTAGTAGGCCTAGGCTTGTTACATTACACGGCTGAATACAGGAAACAATAGAATTGCAACGAGGCTAGAAATATTTTTTTATGAATTTTTAAAATGTAAAGCTGCAAAGGTCTGGGCTATTTTAATCTATTTTACTTGTGTGTTATTACCATCCCCCCCTCCCCCATATACCAGGCTATTATTTCACCTTTAAACGAACAATATACTTTCGCCATAAGAATTTGCGTTGCAAAAAGACCATAGTTTGCCAATGTATAACTGTGGTTTGCCCATACAATTACAACCAACTACCCTTTTCCCCGTCATGGAAGTGGCTTGAAGATTTTCCAATCCAGTTTTATACTAGATTCTACTTTATGCAGTTCGGTTATTTGTTGACGGAGCAGCGTGTTTTAAATGAGTCTTTCTTCTTTCTTCTTCTTCGTTCTTAATTATTAGTGTTGAAGGGGATCGAGATTTATCTGCCAGTTGGTTTGAACTCGAGACTTTGTTCGAATTTATCAAACATGAGCTTTTTGCCGACTCGACCACGCCTCCAACACAATTAAGCGTTACGTGCCAACTGGTTATGCGCCATTGAGGCCATTGACTCCGATTTCAGCCTGCTTTTCTTTTTGGATCTGCTTCCATAGCCTTTGTCCAACCAAGAACAAACTACAAGGCAGAAGTTGTTTAATTTTTGGAGTTGTCTCTCCTAGAAGAGTGGCTGTCCCCAGCTAACGAGCCTCATCTGCCCGAGGGTTCGAACTCGAGACTTTTTCGGTTTAGCAACCAAGAGCTTTACCGACTCTACCACGCCTACCCCTTAAATGAGTGTAAAAGGAAGATAACTCGGCCACAATTTCATTTCACTATTCCTTTGTGGCCCTTGGGAGCAAAGGGCATCAGCCACACCTCTCCATCGGACTCGACACAAGTTGATTTAGATATGTTCTCTATAGCCAGAGGCGTAACGAGGGGGGGGGGGGGGCGGGGTGTGTGGAAAGCACCGGGTGACACCAATTAGGGGGGGGGGGGGGTGACACCAAGGCAAAAAATAGCAAAATATATACAGAAAAATGATATTGTCACTTAATTAAATGATTAAGTAGAGTGAATTAAATAGTCACGGGTGGAGGGGGGGGGGTGACACCATGACGTAAACCTGCTAATGATAAAGACAACATGCAACATCCAGCTGAATTTATAACCGAATATATATATATATATATATATATATATATATATATATATATATATATATATATATATATATATATATATATATATATATATATATATATATATATATATATATATATACAAAATGTTGGTATTATCTGAGCACAGTTTAAAGCAATCACCTTGGGGATGACGGGGGGAGGGGAGCTACATCAACTCAACGTCGCAATATATGTATATGCCTGAGGAAAACGGTTTGGTTGGGAATCGTAATAACCTAATGTTAATCCATGTATATGTGATGGGGGGGGGGGGGTAAAAGAATTAAATACATCCAGAAGAATTTAAAAAAAAAAACATATAGGCCCTACACATGCCTATACACATACTTACAAGTGTATATGGAATATATATATATATATATATATATATATATATATATATATATATATATATATATATATATATATATATATATATATATATGTATGTATATTGATTTTTTTCTTACAGGGGGGGGGTGACACCGGTGCCCACCGGGTGACATCCAACCTCGCTACGCCACTGTCTATAGCCATTGTGCAAAATAAAAACCGATAAAGGCTGTTGACATGTGAAAAGCGACACCAGGATAATTGGACGAGTGCCACGTTTTCACGGACGTAAATAGGGAGGATTTTCACCTGATTGGCGCGTAGAGGAATGTTTTTACACTGCTCATGGTTGCTAAACCGAAGAAGTCTTGAGTTCGGACCCTCGAGACAACTCCAAAATCAAACAACTGCTGCCTTGTAGTTTGTTCTTTGTTGGACAAAGGCTATGGAAGCAAATCCAAAAAGAAAAGCAGGCTGAAATCGGAGTCAATGGCCTCAATGACGCATAACCAGTTGACACGTATACTTAACTGTGTTGGAGGAGATCCCTTCCAACACTAAAATTATGAACGAAGAAGAAGAAGAGTATAAATATAAAATACAGACAAAAACTGTTACCCAATACTAAATCTACTTAGCTAAGGTCAATTTTAAATTTCGAAATCTTTTCTGTTTTATATTTTTTTAGCAATTTTTTTTACCCAATATTATGTTATACTAAAAAAATCATTAAAAATGTATGGCAAGTGATAAAAATATAGTTACATTTTTTTTAAATTAAGGCCGTTTGGGAACCATAGAGAACACTTATTTTCATATTTTGCAAACCCATTTAAAATTATTTTATAAATTCAAACATTTTTTAAAAAGCGCCCTTGAAGTCAACAGGAGTGGCCAGGGAGAGTAAAACAATGCAAATCACAAAAATAGTTTTCCATAATAAAATGCACAGTAGCGGTCAATGGGGTATAGCCTAGTCGTTTATTAATATTAAATAACATAACATCCCCTATCATTAGTAGTTTCTTTTCTCGAACTGTGACATCCGCTAATGCGGCTCAGAATTGATAGTTCTCCTCTGAGTATCAATTTCATCAGTTAATTAAATTTTTTGTTGTTGTTGTACTCAAAATTATTGATAAAGAATGAAATAACCACAATTCAGCCTCTATGTCGCATTTTATCTTCTTTTTAAAAAGAAAATTAGAAATAATTTTCTGTTTAAAAAATGTTTTTGTTACATCATAGTATCTTTATACTTCTGGGTCACCCATAAACGGCGTCACGCATTTTTTGACGAGTTTTACCCTCTCCTCTCCGTCTCACGTCGTTACAAAAAGCCAGACCCCCCCCCCCTAAAATGAAGTCACACCTCAGCCTACGACCCCCATCAAAATTGCTGTTGAATTTTTCTTGAAACATCGATATCTTTCCAAAATCTTGTCAAAACTCTGTCAACATAGAGTATTTTGATCAATTCCTATTACAATTTATCAAAACCGTTTTCTAAAACATGAAATAACGTCTAAAATTAGTTTGCTAATATTGCTTTTTTATAATGCAAAAGTGTGACGTCTCACCATCTGAACCCCCCCTCCCCCTCATCACACACCATCACACAATTACGGACCCCTCCCCCCTACGAGTGTGACGTCATTTATGGACGACCCCTTCATAATAATATTTTTATTCGTAAATGATATGAAACTATAGTGAGTTTTTTTTTTTTCAAAGCATGGTGTCTAGACACGTTTATATGCCTATTTATAACAGCGTTTTTCAAAATAGGGCTGATACAACAACTGTTTGAACAAATGGCAGGCATTATATTATTACTGTTGTCGTTTTTGTGAGCGTTGTTTCATTATTTTCAGAGAAGGGGGGTGTATTTATAATGTTATCGTATTAAACAGTCGTAATGGAGTTGCATAACTATACATGACACAGCGCCTTTAAAAAAGAAAAAAAAAGACATCCTTTTACCAAATGGTGTTTTGAAGCTTCTCCCTAAGAGGTCATCCATAAATGACGTCACGCTTTTTTTTTTGACGATTTTTACTTCGCCGTCCTCCCCTCAGACCCCCCCCCCCCTTAAAATGACGTCACACCTCAGCCTACAAACTGTCAAAATAGAGTAATTTAATCAATTTCTATTACAATTTATTAAAACAGTTTTCTAAAACGCGAAATAACGTCTAAAATTCGTTTTCTAACATTGCTTTTTTATATTGCAAATGTGTGACGTCGCACCATCTAACCCCCTCCCCCTAATCACACCCCGTCACAAAATTACGGACCCCCCCTCCCCCCCCCCCCCCTACGAGTGTGACGTCATTTATGGACGACCCCCGACACTCTCAAAAGAATAATCATACATGAAATCAACTTGTTAGTGTTATTCATTATTTCTATTACAAAAACTACTAACTCCCATTTCCCCCCCCCCCCCCCCCCCCCCGTGTAACTTATTGTCATTAAAGTACAATTTAATCTCTTCCCCAAAAATTTTTGTGTGGTCATTTATGGATGAACCTGTAGAGTTAAACGAACTACCTTTAAAGGAATAATTCTGAAAGATACACCAGCTGATAAAGTGCAACACAATAAAGTTCTTTGCAATCGGCCGCTCTCTATCTAATGGTAAATTATGAATGGTGAAGTGTAAGAGCCTTAACGTAACAGTTTCTTCCTTATTAGGATCTTATGGGCCAATCCAATGAATTGCTAGCTTACAATAATAGCCCGAGCCATTTATGGAAAAGCTTAAAATAGATATTTGTCATAGTGTTTTCAATGTTAGTTTCGTACAAAAAGTTACCTATAAATATTGCTACATACAAAGTGTTCTTTAAAAACTGTTTATTAGTCTGTAATCAATAAAGAACTTTTGAACAATTGTCTCTGCCTGTCATTATCTGTGTTGAATCGGACTTGATAAATTAGTTTATCTATCATATGACCGATAGGGGGCGCAACATTACATTGGACCTTCAAAGGAAGTGGAACATCCCACCGTCACGCCGGCAAACTGTTCTTTCTTACTAGCATTTAAATTTAATTTAGGTAAACATGGCATCGGGAATAAAAATCGACGATTCGGTTAAAAAAGCATGGGCTGGATGTAGTATGATGAGTGTAAAATCCAAAAAACTCAAATATGCTGTTTTCAAATTCTCTGACGACGTAAAAAAAGTCGAAGTGGAGAAGACCGGCTCAACTGATGACGGAGAACCGTGCGAATACGATGTTGTTATCGGAAGTCTGCCTGCTGATGATGTTCGATATCTTGCGTATGATTTCGATTTTTGCAACAAAGACGGCACCAAGAAAAGTGAGATGATCCTGGTTTCATGGTAAGTAATTGATTTTGTTCAATCTAGACATTTTTAGATTCTATTCTGTCAACTTCCTGACCAAGGCTTAAAAATCCGGAAGTAGATTCTAGTTTAGAAGATCGCTGACAAAAATACTTTAAAATATTACAATGCTCGTCAGTTTAGGCCTAATAATTTTTATTTTTGCTTTCAAATATAAGAATCTAGATCTAGATATGGTCTAGTGTAGATTTAGATCTAGATCTAGTTTGTAACAAGTAAAATAGCAATGTTCCGAAATGTCCAGCATCCAGGCCACTTCATTCATACTGCAACTGCAATGATTAGTCACTGATTCGATTTTAGATTGAATGATTAGAATTCTAGATTTCTATAAGATATAAGATCTCTAGTCTAGATCTAGAGTGGCCGTCCGATCTGCACTCGTGAGCGGAACTCTCAATTTCCATTAGGCGCTATTTAATGACCGTTTCACATACAAACAAACCGAAAGTATCCTGTAAGTCTACATCCATTCTACTATATTAGGTATGAGTCATATTGTATTCCTACGCATAGTATTGGAGATAGTCTTGAATCTAAAATTTAGTTGTTAGACATAGAATTTCAAATTCCAGGTACTAAGATAGATTAGTCAGTAGATAGGGCCCTACGCTTCTAGATCTAGAAAAGATCTAGATTCTAGATCTTGGTAGAATGCCTGACTGGCAGGATGGTAGGAGGTTGTTTGTTGCCAGATAGATCTACGTCCTAAGCCTAAAGAGCCTTAATAATGTTATAAATCTTATTTCAATGTGAGGTTACTGAGAAATGGATTCCCTATTGTATGCCAGAAAAAAGCCTGCTTTTTATTTTTTATTTTAGAAAAAATGTTTCTTGTCAGTCTCTACATCTATATTATAATTAAATTAAAACTGAGGAAACGACTGGGTCCTTAGCATAATTTTAAGTCCATGAAAAAAGCAATTAGCCTAAGTTTGCCACTTGAGAAAAATTACCCAAGGCCTAGTAATAAAAATTCTATTTTTTGCCTGCTGACATAGCTATTAGGGTAAAAAATATTTTGTTTAAAATGTAGGCCTACTAATTGGGCAATTTTTTGTGCCCAAATAATGACTGCGTAAAGAATGACAGGATGTAAAGATGAATTTAAATTGGCTCATATATTTTTTTAAATTAATAGGTCCTAAGCCCCTTTTAGCTATACAAAAAAAAAATGATAAAACTATCACAGGAAACCATGAAACATCAAGTTTTTGACCTGCAAAAAGGCTATTCACCCAATTACTTGTTAACACCTGGTTTATTAAAATATTTTGACCATTTTGAAAACATGCAGCTAGCTGACCAATACATTTTGGGTTAATGTAATGTTGCAAGCCTGATTTTTTTGTTTGTTATTTTGTGGTAATTTTTTTCCAATACATGTTACAAAACTCAGTAAATCTGAGTAAAAGGCTGCTACTGTTGTTTTGATAATATTTTAAACTGAAAGCAACTTGATACTGCTTGGATGAGACCCAGCTGGTTTTTTCTTTTTCAAAGGTCTATTAAAATATCTGAATGGTCTTTGTTTGTTATGACTGATAAAGTAGTTGATGATCCTGTTACTTTGTTTTGGTTTTTCTCTTCTATTGCATCCTCTTCAGGTTAAATCTAGTTTATGCAAGTCTAAAAAGTAATAGACCACTGTTTATTTACAAGAAAAGAATAGTAATAATACATCTGAGAAATTTTTAAAAGCTTGTTTTGTAAAATATTAATAGATCTAGACAGTTGGGATAAAAAGAATCTAGCTGTTGTACTATTTTATTTTTTAATCTCATTGCTTTGCATTATCACACAACTGTGAACTGAGTAGAGGCAAGACATTATGTGGTATTCATCAAATGTGCACATTTTTTAAAGAAGCAACTTCTAAAATGCAACAATAGAACAAGAACTGTTTACAAGTGAAAACTGGCACTCTGCATTGTTACCCCCTAGAATGTTTATTACTTAGCATTGTGTTTAAATGTTTTTATATTATTCTGCTAGGCACCCTGAGAGCTGCTCTGTCAGAAAAAAGATGATCTGTGCCTCTTCCTTCAATGCCCTGAAATCTGCACTTTCTGTTAGCAAGAATGTCATAGAAGGAGATAACTATAGTGAAGTTGATACTAAAGCAGTTTTAGAGAAACTTGGATGGAAAGCAGCTTAAGATGAAGAGGAATTTATTAGTTAGTATAGGTAAGTTAAAATTCATGCTTTTTATATTTGTATTATTCAATATTATATTAAAACTGTTATATAACCGGACATTCTGTAGATTTCTATAGTTATCTAATATCAGTAGTTTTGAATTGAATAAATAAGTGGAAAGTATAGGCTATAAAGAAGCACTGTTGCCATGGTCAAAAATAGTTGAGAGTATATTTTCTCATTATTGGCATTTAATAGCTTAATTAAAGGAAACTAAAAATAGTAATAATTATACAAAAATAAAAAAAACCTGCTAGCTATTTTGAGGAGTCCACTTGCTTTGGTAACTAACAAAAAACCTATCTAGTTAATAAAGTGTCATCAAAGGTATTTTATAAACTTCTGATCCAAAAGATGATTTGATTGTAATTCCAATCTTTTAGCAGAAAAATAATTAAAAACAAAAAAAATGATTAGACATGACTGTTTTTGGAAACTTATTTAGCAGTTTAAATGAATATATTTATTACATTTAAACGGTCACCACATATTGAAACAGCTGTGCCCTTTTTCTAAAATAATGAAGCAAATCTAGTAACATTAGGTAAATTTAGCTCACCCATGTTGATGTTACTAAAATGCAAATGCTTGCAAATTGTAGGTTCACAGGAATAGGACCCTTTTTATTGTTCTTAGTTTTTATTCCCCAGTTAAATAAACACAATTTTATTTTCAGGTGTGCTAACAGCTTTTTGAGACATCAGTGTAGGATTCTTGTATGGAGGGGAATTTTTTAGGTTTAGCAACAACTTTGCAACAATCTTGAAATCTATTTTTGAGAACATTATGATGGTTATTGGATTTTTATAAAAATATTTTCATTGTTAAATTGTCATTTTTCTAATAGATATGCTAACCATTACACTCATCCTACAAAGAAATGTTACAACTGGGGATATGTTTTTAAATTTACCAACAAGCATCATCTTTCCCTTTATTTTGCTTATAATGTTCATTACTGTAAAAGTCATTGAAAATCTGTAAAATATAACTTCTATTCTTTTGTGTTAGCATTAGTTGGTTATAAAATGTCCCCTCCAATGTATGTTTTTGTAAAATAATTCATTTCAGTTACGACAAGTTAATAAAAAAAATAGGCTTTTCTTTTTTCTGTTGCTACATAGTAATTTTGAAATTTTCTGTCATGTCTTGTTTCATCATAAAAAAATCATCTCTTGAGTAATTTATTTGTTGATTATTTTTTTAAAGTATGTAACAAATCAGTAGCCTGGTTCTTGTCTTATAGATTGAGAATATTTATATCAAAACCTAGCCACTGTGCTGTGTAATATAATGGTAATGTACCTATATACTGCTTTGAATAATAATTTCATTGTTAAGGCTATCCAGTCTCATTTGTAATATGACAGTTTTCTCTGCTAATTATTAGTATTTATAACATTGTGCTCAATAAAGTTTTTAAATAAATTAAAATTATACAAAACTTGTCACATCTGTTTTTACCAATGGTTAATCAGTTCTGTTAAATGTTTTAACTCAGTTTGATAATCAGTCCAGAAAAGTGTTAACTGATAAAATAGATCTCTGAATTTGTGGTGTGATATTAACAAAAGTAGGTGTGTCACATAGACTTGAACCATCCTGTTGGTGGACAGCATGAATACATTCAACAATGCGCTAAGAAGTAAATTTTTTGTGTATACATTTTACTTAAACTGTGAGCTTGTTTGATCTCTGTATTATCAATCTCATTTGTACAATGAGAACACACTTATTTTGTAACTTCTTGGATGTGAAAAAGTCATGGCATTTAGTGACATCTATTCTTTTTGTAAAACTAGTCAACCGCCATGTTATCGCGGTTAGCAAGTTACTCTTCAGTCTAGAAATATCTAAACCAATTTAATGAATAGCAAAACTAGTATAAAAGAAAATTGCTGACTGGTGGGTAGACTGATATTCTACTCACTGATGCACACACCCTCTGTGTACCACATTTTATATTCATGCAAATAATTAATAAAACACTGTTACTACTATAACTGTTTTATTACATTTATCTTGTTTTTTTTTTAAACTTAACCACAAAATCTATTCTTAAGCTGACAGGCTCAGATGTACCTACTAAAGAGTGGCATTATATTTCTAGCTTTTCATCCCTGAACAATGTGTGTTGATATCATGTACTGTATAAATCAGCTTAGTTTTCAACACATCCCATCCTAGGCAGATAAGGTTGCTGATAATGTCCTGATAACAATTATACTGAAGTCATCCACCACTGAGTTCCTTGGTTCACTTCTAAATATACTGCATGACACTATTTAAATATAACCCAAACTTTAAACAGGAGACGTTTAAAGTTACTTTTTGGAACTGGCGGGTCACTGGGCAGGTGAAGTAGAGTTCACCTGTTTCCGTGACCTCGGGATAGTGTGGTCAGCGCTTTGCCCAGTGCCTTTACCACAACCCTACTCTAGAAACAAACTTGACTCATTTGACTGTACCGGGGAAAAAACTTAAGACTTGGTTTATAAAAAGAAAACCTGGGTAGTGCGTAGTATGCAGTCTGTATTTTGAGGTGCATTTAAGTAGCCATCATATGTCAATTCTTATGGACATTTGCTCTTCTGAGTATCTTAACTTAATTACATGTTTTAACATTCAGCCTGTCAACAAAGTTATGTGTGACCGTACTGACAGGTATATTAACACTACAGGAACAATTGGATCCCACTTGTGTATCATGACATTGTGCACATCTTGTACAGTACATAAACTCACAAATTATATGGGCCCTAGTTTTTTTTCAAACTCAAAATTGTGGTTTCAATGGAGGAGTCAGACTTAAGTTAATTCTAACTGCACCATGGACCATCATGTTTGAAAGAGATAAGTCTTTAAAAATTTTGGAAAGAAATATTTGCAATTCCATAATTTAGCATTCTTAGAGCCTTGTGAATTATATAGTAGACAATCAGTTTCACCCAGTGCTAATTTTCTTTAATTGAGGGGGGTGGGGTATAATTTAGGACTATATCAGTTGTTTAATTTTAGAGTTGTCTCTCCCAGAAAAATGGCTAACGAGCCAAATCTGAATGAGGGTTCGAACTCGAGACATTTCGGTTTAGCAACCATGAGCTTTACCGACTAGAACACGCTGACCCCTAATTAAAGTTCAATAAGCTGCATTTTTAAACACTAAACAGATTTATGACAACATAATTATAATAAAGAACACCAATACAAAATTACATTTGTTTAATTAAAAATGAATTTCATGTGAGGTATGTTTTTAGAAAATAATTTAATTAAAGGCTGTAGTTGAATCATCTCAAACTTTTAAAAAATACAAATCATCTCAAAACCACAAAAACAAAAATTTACTTCCTATTAGGGCTACTTCTACATTTTAAAGTTATGAAAAAGAAAAATTAGCTTTTCAAGCTACAGAATGTAATTTATTTTGTTAGGTTTAATTGTTTCATACATAAGCCTACTTTTTGAATCACCTAGAACATTTTTGGACTATCAAAGAAAATGGTAAAATGATTCATGATTTAAAAATGAGACATCATACTTAGTGAGCTTTGTAAACAATTCACTTCAAATATTACAAAGAATAAAAATACAGTGCAAAGTGAAACAGTAATTGGAATAGAACAATTATATACATTTGTAAATTAAGTTGCTATTAATAATATTTACACTAGTGGAGAATTCAAGTGGCCCATCTTAATCTCCCTTCAATGAACACAGGTTTCTGTCAAAGGAAATATAAATTGGACTTAATTATTTTCCAGGTAATTTGTTGACTGAAATCAAAATAAAACCAAAAGTTTTGAACCTAAAAAGTTTTTGAGCAATACCTCAGACTGGGATGGAGTGGTCTAGCGGTAGACGGCTGGACTGCTAACCCGTAAGTCTCGAGTTCGAATCCGGGTTCAAGTCAGTAGACCATCCCTGAGTCCACTCAACTCTGATGGGTACCTAACTCACGTTAGGGAGAGTAAAGGCGGCTGGCATAGTGCTGACCACACTATCTCTTCATATGCCGAAGTCACAGAAACAAGTGAACTCTACTTCACTTGCTCCATAGACTGTCAGGTTTGAAAGGGAAACTTTTTTTACCTCAGACTGAAGCTCCCTGAAGTATTCTCTGTAATTTGCTAGCACATGTGGCAACACCGTTGGCTGTGGCAGTACTTGGCCTGTTGGACAGAACACTCCCAGGTCTGGACGCAGGTGAGAATGGACGGGGTGTGATGAGGTCACGAGGTGTGTGGCTTGAGAGGAGGGGAGACAACTTTTCTACAGCATTTAAGGTCAGAAGATCCTGAAAAATTCCAAATTTAAATATTACAAAACAGTTTGATGGCAGGATGAGTACAAAGTGTTTAAACCTAAGGTCTTCTTTAGCACTGGGCAAAATGCTGAGCACACTATAACTTCATATGCAGAGGTCAATGAAACAGGTGAACTCTACTTTGAATGGGTGCTCTACTTTTTATTCTTCAGCACAAAACAATACAGGTAATACAATAGAAGTCAACATAAAGAAAAAGCCCAGTGCTATGAGTCAGTATTATGTAAGAATCACATTTCAAAGTGAAGAGATGAGTTTTAGATCTTTTGTGACGGGGTGAGGGCCAATCGTCATTCCTGTGTAGCATAGTGTTCCTGTGTAGCATAGTGACGCAACCACAGCCCTCCAGGGGTGAGGGGAAATCATCATTCCTGTGTAGCATAGTGACGCAACCACAGCCCTCCAGGGGTGAGGGGAAATCATCATTCCTGTGTAGCATAGTCACGCAACCACAGCCCTCCAGGGGTGAGGGGAAATCGTCATTCATGTGTAGCATAGTGACGCAACCACACTGCTCCAGGGGTGAGGGGGAATCATCATCATTCATGTGTAGCATAGTCACGCAACCACACCGCTTGATCGTACTCGGTTCTGTGTGATTTGTCCAAGCTTGGTCCACCACATTCCTGCTGCTTCTGCTTCACAGACAAGTGATCTTTTCAAGTCTGTTTAGGCCTCCCTACTTTCCTCTTTCCTTCAGGATTCCAATCTAGTGCTAGTCTGGTGATGTTGCTAGTTGGTTTTACGCAGGGTGTGTCCATTCTTTCCCAATTTGCGTTTTTGTATTTTATTGTCAATAGCGTCTCGCCTAGTTTTTCTTCATAATGTGAGGGACCATGGTGACAAGTTTTAAATAAATGGTCCTAAAAAAAATTACTTGCATGCAGGACATGTTCACAATACAATACATTTGTCTCCCAACATTTAACAAGACAAACTACAAACTAACCTTGATGAGCTCATCTCTGGTACACAAGCTCCTTAGAGCAAGCATAGCATTAATTTGCACTGATGACTGGGTATCATGGCAGGCAGTCTCCAGCAAACTAAGACAACAAATTGAATTTAAAAAATCAAGTAGGTGTAGTGATTAACATAGTGATGGCTGTTCTATCAACATCATTTTGGGTTGTGATAAAGGTATTCAGTTAGGCACATGCAATAGCTATGTGATTTCACTGTTAAACTTTAATACTATCTAGCTAATATTATTTTTTAAGAAATTTGGTTATTAATATTACAACTAATTTTTGCATACTGACATCACATAATTTTTAAACAGGTTTTAGATGAAGTATTTTATTTACAACAAGCCGACCTGCAGCATATCATACGCCGCTATTTAGTTGTTTTTTCTACTTTTCAGTTATTCATAATTTGTGAATTCGACACTACCAACGCTGCCACTGAAAATATTTCTTTAAAACACTATAAGTAGCTCGTTAAGGACGATAACCCCCCCCCCCTCCTCCCCCACCCGCTCCGTTAAAGTAAACTCCACTTAGTAAACCCCCCCCCCCTACGTTTAAAATTGTTTCAAACTAAATTATCTGCCCCTAATAGTCGTCACTAAACCCGGCTCTGTTTGTAAACATTTAGAGTGAACCACAGCTCACCAGACCATGTAGGGGTGGGGGTGGTAGGGAGCGCGTTTACAGCTTGTTTTCAAGAGTCTCCCAGAAGAGAATTATATATATAGATGTCATTTTTGTGGCAACAATGCAATGGAAATAATAAAAAGTAATTTTTAAAAAATTTTACTTCAAATATTCTATGCAATCCCTTAATTTTTATACTTACTGTGCTACTAATTTGCATTTTTTAATATCTGGACATAAAAGTGAGGAATGCATGCCAAGGTTACCACAGGCACCTGTAAAAAAAAAAAGTAAAACAACACTTAGAAGAAAATATTTTTGAGATCATTTTTTTTAAAATCAAAATTTTAAGAAAAATCAAGATTTTTAAGAACATTATGTAACACTATTATTTGAAGAATAAGATCAAATATGTTGAACATGAATGAAAAGTATGAGTGAACGAAAGCATTACTAGCTGCATTAGCCCTTGTTTTGGTGACTGGGTCATGCAGTAGGTCAACTAAATGAGGCAGTGCTGGTCTCAGCTTCTGATAAAGCTCTCCATTGTGGTAGCAGGCATTGCCCACAGCGTAAGCAGCACACTGTGTATCACAGGAACAAAAATAAATAATTTACTTTACAGCTAGCTAAATTAATATAATACAACTTTACAGCTAGCTAAATTAATATAATAAAAATAAAACTTTACAGCTAGCTAAATTAATAAAATACAACTATACAACTAGCTAAATTAACATAATAATATCATAAACATGGCACTGCATAACATGGGAACCAAAATAAACAATTCACTTTATAAATGGCTAAATTAATTTAGTGTCATAAATATAGCACTGTCCAAAACATAAATCAAAATAAATTTTGTAAGGGTAATTTTTAAATAATGTGTGGATACCAGCAGAGAAAGTTGTTTTTAAATAAACTATTAACTTTTGGAATAGGACATTGGAAATTTACGTGATAAAGAAAACCCATACATGAGGTTAAAAGTTAAAGGACAGTAGGGTCAAGTGCACAGTACACCTTTTTCTGAAGAATTAATTATCCTTTTTTTTAAAGGTAGTAATGAAACAAATTTAGCTGTATAAGTTGATGACGGTTAAGGTGGCATTAAAACTAGTCTTATAAGTTATTTCGATATGGAACCAGACCTATTTGCCACTAATTGAGATAACATTTTTATAATACAGAAAAATAAAGCTGGACAACCTTTCGGACATTTGAGTCAGAATCTTGCAAGCACGCCAGGAGGCCACTGAGGATTTTGTCTCTAAAATGAGAAAAGAAACTTTTAACAAACAGTAAATGCCATGAATTTTTTTTAGATGTTTTTATTCATATAAATTGTTTGATGTAGATTAAATTTAAGATTCCAAGTAATTTTTTATCTTAAAAAAAAAGCACTAGTTATTTCAATAAATAAGTTTCTGATTTAACAAAAATATTACTTTGGCTTGTTAAGAATGGAATACAGCTGGCCATCATGTCTCATTATATTGCCAAGTAGACTGCATGTTCTAGATTTGATTGCTGCTGTACTGTGATTGATGAAGCCTGACATCAAACTGTAGTTACCTGGCAACAGTTTGAGTACATTAAGTTAATTCCTTTTTTTTTAATTCTACAGATCAACATATTTAGGTGTAACATTAAGGTTTATCTATATGCCTTTTTATTTTTTACCGCTGTAAAATTTAAAAACTGAAGTACAGAAGCTGAATGGTACTGTTTTACTGCTATAAATAAAATAAAACATTTTTGTTTGCGTTTAGAGGTTCAATGTATTTTATTTTTTATACATATTTTTATTTATTCACTGCAATAAACCTTTAAGTTGCAGCAAATAGAGTGATCTAGTTGTTGTTTTTTTTACTGTTATTAAACATTTTTAGTTGGAGGATAGAAGTTTGATGTATTAATTTTTTACTGCTATAAAAAATTTTAGTTGGAGTATAGAGTTATTTTGCACTGCTAAAAATATCTGATGCAAGAAAGAAGTGTTACCTTCTGTCCCTTTGAAAATATTCTTGACCAGGTCCAGGTGTTCTGGTGATGTCCTCACGAGGTGACTGCAGATAGAGATGGCATCACACTTCACAGACAGTGGACTCTGGTTCTCCATACACTTTTGTAGAAATGGCACTGCCTGGAGAAAAAAAAATTTCAACAATTAATCAAGTGTTTTATCTTAGGGGAAAGCTGAATATTTTATTTAAACTCTGTGGAGCTGTCTACTAAAGACAGTGATTAATTAAATAATAATTATCTTATTGAATAAACTTTTTTATTTTGTCATTGAAGAAAACAAATGAAATTAGTATACAATCTTAAGTGAAATAACATGTGATTTGATGCTGTATAAATAACCTAAGATGCTGAGATAGTTGAAATTTAAAATTACCACAAAAGATTAAAGTTACCAAAGCACAATTTGGGTATAAAAAAAGTAAAAATAAGCATAAATCAGAACCTGATATTTTTTGACAGCTGTGGCGAACTGCTCCACAAAAATAACATTTCCCAGAACCAGCCTGGCTAAAAGACCCAGCGGTGTTTCCAGAGACGACCCAGACAAGTGGTGCACACATGCAGCCAGCAGACGAGGGAGGAACTTGGAGGTGTACAAACAGCTGAGGATAACACAATTACAAAGTAAAGTTTAGTCATGGAAACAAAAGGGAAATAGTGTATTAATTAACTGTTTTATATTACAAAGGGGAAATGTATTAATTAACTGTTGTATATTACAAAGGGGAGATATTGTATTAATATACTGTTGTATAATGTATATTGCAAAGGAAAGCATTTTATCATTGTAGCATGGTATTAAAAAAAGGAATTATTGTATTAATTTACTGTTGTATAAAACAAAGAGAAATAATTTATTCAATTACCTTTGTATAAATCAAAGGAAAACATTTTATCATTATAGCATTATATAAAGTCATAAATATTCAAAGGGCCACATCAACCAGAAACATGGGTCAAGAATATAATTGAAACAAAGGAAGATATTTTATTCATGTAGTGTTGTATAAAAACAAAGGGGAATATTTTATTTATTCACTGTTGTATTAAATTAATGGGAGATATTTTAGCCATTAACTTTTAAATAAAACAAAGGGAAATATTTTATTCATCAGTTGTATAAAAACCAAAGGGAATCATTTTTCTAATTACTATTACAAAACCAAGGAAATTAATTTTCTTCTAAAAACAAGTTGTATCAGAAAAGGGAAATAACTGTTCTACTTTCTTTTCTACACACATTGTATTAGACAAGGGAAATAATTTTTCCACATTCTTTTCTACACACAAGGGAAATAATTTGTCTACATACTGTTGTATCTCAGCCAGGAGCTCATCTGTTGTGTCTACAGCAAAAGGGAAACAACCCATCTGTGTGACAGCCAGTATGATGTCTTCAACCAACTGAGCCCCTTCAGCTTTAAAACTAGAAACACATTTTGTAAGTTTAACTGGTCTAGAATATTGTAAAAAGTGTCATTTTTAAAGTAAATCATTGTTAAAGTAAATCATAAAGTCAATATTTTTGTCCAACGAATTCTAGACAAAAAGAATTAAAGGTATTTTAATGCTAAAAAATTGTAACTGAAGTGATCCTTAACTTCAACAAACATTAGTCCTTGTTAAATTTGAATTAATTTTTAAGAGCCGTTTCTGTTTAATATAACATTTAGACTGTTTAATCCAATTTACAAAATTAGTTTAATCCAATCTACATAAGTAGTTTAATCCCATCTACATAGATAATTTAATCCAATCTACATAACATCACGGTCATAACACATTTGCCTAAGTCATGTTTTCATATTTTGAGAAAACTGAAGAAAAAAGGAATAACTTTAGTATTACATCTGCTATGTCACTATGGTACAATTTAAAGAAGAAACAGTTTTCTGATTGGCTCATGACTTAGGTGATTTGCCATATAATAGAATAATGTGTAAACATTGTATTTCAACTATTAACTCAAAATCCCCCAAAAAAATGACTTGGGCGAATATGTTATGACCGTAGTTTAATCCCAACTACATGGATAATTTAATCCAATCTACATAAGTAGTTTAATCCCAACTACATAGATAATTTAATCCAATCTACATAAGTAGTTTAATCCCAACTACATAGATAACTTAATCCAATCTACTTAAGTAGTTTAATCCCATCACGATAAGTAGTTAAATCCCATCTACATAGATAGTTTAATGATCCCATGCTACACAGATAGTTTAAAGATCCCATGCTACACAGATAGTTTAAAGATCCCATGCTACACAGATAGTTTAATGATCCCATGCTACACAGATAGTTTAATGATCCCATGCTACTTACTGTGAATGAATCTGTGTAAGAAACTGAGGGTGTAAAAAATGAACCAGAGTTAGCATTAGGATACTATCAGCTGTGGCCAGATTGGGCAGGCACTGGTATGTTTCCTGAAATAAATTTCAAAAAGTCAAAACATTGTCAGAGTTTATGCACTATCTAGATTCTCTCTCCATAGTTGAAATAAAATGGATGAGGTCTTCTTATTTTATAAATTCAAGTTAGACATTAATTAAGAAAAGAAATTGCTTTGATCTTAAAACTAACACTAATAGGATGATTTCTTATTTTCAAAAATTTTATAACATGTCCTATTTTATTTTTTTAATGTTCAAGGACTGTTTAAAATAAGGTGGCATAGTCACATTTTCTGTTCTTTGTGTGGGCATCTCTAGTATACAACTATACACTCGTTTTAATTTTATGTTAAATGTCTCTAAAAATGTAATTACTGACAATGTAAGAATGAAAACCTACCTTGGTAAACACAGTGACAGCCATCTGTAATGATGCCATTAACCCCTGCGGGGATATCAATGACCAATCAGGAGCAAGGAACTTCTGCGATGCCATCAAACCATCAGTTTTCCCCTCCATGTCCTGCAGCGGCATGTCCACTTCCAGGTTCAAAACCTGCACACCTTGTGCAATCCGGTGCCACATGGCGCCCCAAATCCCTGTCTCTATGTACAGGCTAGCCACAGGGCTGTCAGTCTAAAGGAAATAATAATAATGTCAGTTTTTTTTTTTAATTAAAAATTTTTTAATTTAATTAATTTAAAATTCTTTTTCTACTAAATGCGTGTTTTCAGGCCCAGATACAAGTCAATAAAATATACTAAAACTTTTTAAAATTAAGAATAATTTTTAACTGTTCCTCAATAAAATATTGTTTTAACATTTTGTTTCATTATATTTGAGGGAGGTTGTAGGGCATAAGGTACTTTACTAAAGTTTATGTTTTTACAAGACATATTTTTAAGTGTTGCTTGGTATTTTAAAATACTGCATTCATAAAATCTCTAATGATAATGTACATTTAAAATAACTAACATTTAAACTAGAATATAAAGATTCAAGAAACTTTCTAAACAGAAACTTTTAAAATCACCTGATGGCCAAGAAACCTTTCAAATGTAACTGTTCAATGGGCAAATGTTTTTCATTATTTACAACAACAAAAAATAAAAATAAAACATTAAAAAGAGAACTTAACACCAAACTATGTGTACCTGAATCAACTGGTTTTTCATCTGTTAATGGAAGGAAAAAACTCAAACCTTATAGAGTATTTGTAAGGATTTTTTAAGTGTGATTTTAAAATATTGTCAGCAGAAACCTTGTGTCATTCAAAAAATGTAGTAAGTTTTTATTTTGTTTTTCAGAATTTCATTTTTGTGAAAATAGTTGTAATTTACTGTCACAGATTTAAATACTAACTTCAAACAAGAAGCACAGTAGCCAAAATATTGTACACCCCCATTATGTTTTTGATATTTGTGGTAAAGAAAATAGAAGTTGATTAATGACTTAAATAACCTATAATTTTACAATACAAAGAATTGTGAATATGACAATTACAAGACACTTACAATGTGCACCTAAAATGTGCAGTCCTGAGTTAGGTGTCAAGTGTAGCCAGAAAAAAAAATTCTCTAAGAGTTTGATTTTTTAAATTAAATATTTCAAATTGCAGCTAGCCTTAGGCATTATAAAATTTTTTAAAAATCTGGGCATTTCTACACCACTTAATTCAACTGTTGCATTAATAACTCTAGCTGTAATGGATGACAACACATCTCATCAGATGTAACTTACATTTTTTCATGGAGTCATGTTTATATTTCACATAATAAAAGGAAAGATTCTTTATAAGAAATTAAAGCTCAGGATTAAAAAAAAAAAAAAATTTATAATATTTTACATAACAGAAATACTTCAACATTAAAAAAATGAATTCAAAATGTACAATCTAAAAACAATTTCTAACACAAAATTAAAAGTGTAAAGAAATCTTGTGAGTAAAAAAGAACCATGTGAATTAAATCATCAACCAATACCTGCTTTTCTATGTCTTTGCTGTAGTCCTGATAAATACAATAAACATTTCTATCACCTTTGAATAATTAACCAGTACTTAAAAAACTGGACCAGTTTTATGAAAAATTTGCTGAATCAAATACCTTGTGTAATATTACTGTTATTAAGGGTGTGTCAAGGTTTTTATGGGAGAAAAAAAATGTCCCTCCAGCCACCCTGTAATTAACCTGTCATAACCATAATTAGTGTTTCTTTCAAAAAGAATGAAGGGGGTGTGTGGACAACATGACATGGCGATGTAGAACAATCAAATATCAGGGGGGGGTATATTTTCAATATAAATTATAATTTTCCTTTCATGTGGGGGGGGGGGGGGGGGGGGGGCAGAAGAGGGGGCAATAGGGATCCCTGAAAGAAACTCTGGTCATAATAATATACCCAGGTAATCAGAATTAAGATTGATGGATATAACCTTGCTGAGCAATTTGGTTAATGCCACAACAATCAGATATCTCTGTATGCTGTATTGGTCTTGTTATCAAAATTAGCTAAATATTTACTTGCCCTATTTTAGTTAAGAGGTCTTTGAACACATAAAACAAAACAACAAAACAAACATTAATGTCTTTAAAACTTTTTGAGAGTAGACTCCCTTGGCTAAAACTTAAAGTTCTAAATTGATAATCAAAAGCAAAACAATAAGCATAATTTTTTTTGATTATCACACAAGCTCAAAGTACCCACAGAGAAGAAACTTGTATGTACAACTTGGTACATAGGAATGAAATAAAGATTTAACAAATATAGACAAAATATTTTACTACCTACCCCAGAAAGTAGCTCATTCAATAACATCAAGAGGCCGTCTAAAACTCCATATTCAAAAGGCGGACGAACACAGATCTAGTCAATAAAATAATTAAAATTAGAAGTGCTACATGTGTACAGTTTTCAAGTGACAGGAAAGATGTGCAATGGAAAACTGCACAGCAGAAAGCTCAGTACAAAAAAGTGCGTAAGGGTATTTTTGTGTTTTAAATCGAGCATTTATGGACATTACTAAAGAGTGACTACATGTACATTGTAGCATAATAAAACATAATTCCACTAAATATGGCAAAATTATAGTGTATTAGTATAATTAGTTTGTATTTGCTAAATTTTTCTGTTTGCGCAGCTTTCCAATGCGTATTTTTCTGGGAACCCAATTTTTGGTAGAATTTAAAATCAGTTTTTTTTGGTTTAAGTTATTTAAAAAAGAGTATTTGGTTCTGTGGGAGTAGGGACTTAAGTTTGTGCCTTTGACAGCTCAAGGCTGTAGGATGTGTAAGTCAGCTATGAGGGATGTCCAGGTAAGACAAGTGAAGTTGGCTCAGCTTGTACAGGCCACATAAACTTTTTATCAACCAAGTCCATAAAAAGAGAGGCTACAATGGTTTCAAAGGATGCTTCCTTGAATCTATGATGCAAACAACTTAACTTAATCACAACTACAACTGTAACAGGTCTAACATAAAAACCAACCTGGTCTAGGTCCGTAAACACAGCCAAACAGGCCTGTAGCATCTCGTAGGGCTGGACCTCAGCATTGACCCCACAGGTGACCATCTGGCTAAACAACAGGGCTGCTGCTGCCTGCAAGGGCAGAGGAAGTTGTGTCTGAGGGATTGGTCTAGGTACCTCAGGTCTAACTACCATAGGTCTAACTACCATAGGTCCAACTACCATATGTCTAACTACCAGTGGTCTAATTAACATAGGTCCAACTACCATAGGTCTAACTACCACTGGTCTCACTACCACTGGTCTAATTAACACTGGTCTAACTACTACGTTACCATTTGGCTAACAACCACTAGACTAAGTACCATACTTCTAGATATCATTTGTCCAACTATCATTTTTCTTGCCATTATCTGTTGAGTTACCATTGTCTAGTTACCACTTGATTAACTATAATTTGTTATACTACCACATGTCTAACTACTATTAATATTACTATGTACCCAAATTATCCATCTACCAATTAAGAAACTACTGGACTATTTGATTTTATGATGATTTTGTTTTGGTCAAAGTTTCTTTTGAAGTTCCTGACCAGACAGGAACATTACTCACTGTGTGACTTGCTAAAGTTGAATCTAAGAACAGACCAACCATCATAGCTGCTGAGTCAGTCAGTCTGTGGGGAACAGGGGAACTGAATTAGATGATGGACATATGGGGAACAGGGGAACTGAATTAGATGATGGACATATGGGGAACAGGGGAGCTGAATTAGATGATGGATATATGGAAGTGTGGGGGAACAGGGGAACTGAATTAGATGATGGACATATGGGGAACTGATTTAGATGATGGACAACAGGGGAACTGAATTAGATGGTGGACATATGGGGAACAGGGGAACTGAATTAGATGGTGGACATTTGTGAGTGTGAGGAACAGGGGAACTGAATTAAATGCTAAACAACAGGAGAACTGAATTAGATGCTAAACAACAGGGGAACTGAATTAGATGCTAAACAGGGGAACTGAATTAGATGCTAAACAACAGGGGAACTGAATTAGATGATGGACGTTTGGAAGTGTGGGAAACTGTTGAGAAGGGTAAAATATGTATTGCTCTCTTATAGTACATTGATGTTAAAGAGATGATTGGAATAAAAATGTGAGTTTTAATTGGCAAGGTGTTTAGTTATTTTTATAAGTGCATCATAGGGAAAATTTCATGGCCAACAAAAAAGTATTCTTTTTCAAATGTTTTTATATACGACTTTTTCAATTGTATTAAAGGTCGCTGGTTACTTAAATTTTATAAAAAGTAATCACCACCTAAAAAAAGTTTGAGAACCCGTGGCTGAGATGATAGACTTACGGCTGTGGCATGACTTGTATCTGTATGACTATGACACTGAGGGTGTAGATAACCATCTCAATCACTGTGTTCACCTCCATGTCTGCCATCTCCACCTGAGGAGAATTACACAGAGGGGAGATAACTTTACATAAATAAAGGGGGATAACTTTGTTTAAAAATTAGGTTCAACTTTGTTCTTAGTTCTGTAACTCAACACAATTTTAATATATGAGGCTCATTAGATGGATGCATCAACCTATATTGGAGAGAAAACTGCATAGTCAAACAGTAGTGGATCCATAGAAATTCACTTTTTTGGATGCATCATAATCTGTCAAGGCAAAAACAGCAAAACAATCCAGCCATAAAAATTAACAGCTTTGATTGTTGGATTTAGAAAATGTCAAATAGTGTTAACATCACAAACTGAAAAAAAGAACTAACATTCAAGTTTTCTTCAGAAAGCCTTTAACAAACTGAAAATTAAAAAAAAAAATTCCACTTTCTAATTAAATCAATCAACACCAACAACGTCAACATAGATCAACACATGTTTAACCAACGCCAACTTGCTGGAACTCGACTGCTCACCCCTTGGAGCAGAAACAAGCGGGAGAGCTGATAATTCTCAATCCTGCGAATTTTCTCGACATGCTCAGCGCCAGAAGAGGAACTGAGACTGCTCACCGTTTGCTTCTTCTCTTCATCTAAAAACTCTAGCATAGTTGGCTGCACCTATGTAGAGGTGTAGCTATGACTCCGACACATTTTAACAGGGAGATTTTTTTAAAATGGCTTCGCTTAGTCAAAAAACGAACACTTTTGGCTACATGTATGTAGGGGGGTATAGTTATCACTCAGACACATTTTACCAGTGAGATTTTAGATTTTTTTAAAATGGCTTTCTTTTTAAAAAAAAAAAACTGTAGAATTTTTGGCTGCATCTATGACTCAGATACATTTTACCAGTGAGATTTTAGATTTTTTTAAAATGGCTTTCTTTTAAAAAAAAAAACTGTAGAATTTTTGGCTGCATCTATGACTCAGACACATTTTACCAGTGAGATTTTTTAAAAATGTCTTTTCTTTTTCAAAAAACTTTAGCACTTTTGGCTGCTTCTATGAGGGAGGTGTAGCAATTTTAGAAATGTTACCAGTGAAATAAATAATAGCCTCTACTTGTCATTTAAAAACTCTAGACAAGATGTGAGAGGTCCAGCAATTACTAAAAAAATTTACCAGGGAAATGAAAATGTAATAAGTATTAGGTTGCTGCACTGTTAACATTATTGTAAATTTTAACCATCAAGAAATTCTGTGGTAGAAATTTGTATTTAACATCTACAGCTATAAGCATAAAAGTATTTTTATAACTTTTGTTATTTTTAACATTTTTAACTTGACAAGGATCTTTTGTATGTGCTTAATTAATGCCGTATAATTAAACACAATTTTTTTTGCTCTATAAAAATCTCTATAAAATGTAGTTAGTGATCTCACCTTCCCCATGATAATGCCAATTAAGGAGTCCACATGCTCAGAGTTTTTGTCAAGGAAGTGACAAAATTCAGCAGAAGCTTGACAGCATGAGTACACTACCTGGATAAAAATGGAACACTGCTGTAGTGAAATGGTTAAAAAAAACTCTCAATACAAATAGAATACTGCTGTGGTGAAATGGTTAAAAACACCACTTGATACAAATATAACACTGCTGTAGTGAAATGGTGCACTGTTTATTAAGCAGATTATTTACTAACTGAACATCAATAGTTTTTACACACAACATTTATTTATAAACAAGTAATTTATATTTATCAGTAGAACAATACTAATGGATATTTAACAAAAAAATTACAACACACCTCACAGTATTACAATACCATACAACATATACCAAAATACCATAATACAGAACATAACTACTAAATAGTACAAAATTACTAGCATAGCATACTCACTGTACTGTAGACCATTACTACCATACACCAGTTACTTACCCGTACAACATTAAAACCATACTACTGTTACCCATAACAACACAACACTACAATACAACTCAAACTTACCAGTAACAAATTACTAACATACATCACTCACATTAGGGTAAGTAAAGGCGGCTGGGCATAGTGCTGACCAAACTACTCCTTCATATGCAGAGATCACAAAAACAAGTGAACTCTACTTCCCTTGCTCCGTAGACCATCAGGTTTGAAAGGGAACTTTACTGTTACACATACCACATTACTAACATACATCACTCACATACCCGTAGCACATTCCAACCATACAACAGTCACCCAAAGAACATTATTACAATATAACACTAACTCACCCGTAACAAATTACTACCATACAACATAAACTTACCCGTAACACATTACTACAGTGTAAAGGGTGCCTCATCAGAAGAAGAAACTCATGGCCGATGTCATTGCTATTTTTAGAAATCTTTTCTGCTAGGTACTCTGCAACCTACTCAAGCAAAAAGTTTTGATCACATGACTTGCGAGTAGGTCAGTATTGATCACATGACTTGCATGTAGGTCAGTATTGATCACATGACTTGTGTGTAGGTCAGTAATGATCACATGACTTGTGTATAGGTCAGTATTGATCACATGACTTGTGTGTAGGTCAGTATTGATCACATGACTTGCATGTAGGTCAGTATTGATCACATGACTTATGTGTATGTCAGTATTGATCACATGACTTGTATGTAGGTTAGTATTGATCACATGACTTGCGTGTGGGTCAGTATTGATCACATGACTTGTATGTAGGTCAGTATTGATCACATGACTTATGTGTATGTCAGTATTGATCACATGACTTGTGTGTAGGTCAGTATTGATTACATGACTTGCATATAGGTCAGTATTGATCACATGACTTGTATGTAGGTCAGTATTGATCACATAACTTGTATGTAGGTCAGTATTGATCACATGACTTGCGTGTAGGTCAGTTTTGATCACATGACTTGTGTGTAGGTCAGTATTGATCACCTGACTTGTGTGTAGGTCAGTATTGATCACATGACTTGTGTGTAGGTCAGTATTGATCACATGACTTATATGTAGGTCAGTATTGATCACATGACTTGTGTGTAGGTCAGTATACTTCAAGTCTTTCTTTCTACCTGATACTTTCAACATAAGAAGTCATCCATAAATGGTGTTATGCAACTACAGAAATGGTTTATCAGTATATTTTTAATACTAATATGCATATGTGCTTTCTTACTCTTTTTTTGCCATCTTTGTTGACAACTGCATCCTGTGATACAAAAGTCAGTGAAGCCAAACAGGAAATGGCCTGCAGAATGATTTGCTCCATTCTCTCAGCCGCCATCTGAACATTGCCTTCTGCTAGCTCTGTTGGGACCAAACAAATATGGTACAAGGATTTTCTTTTAAAAAATTAAATTCTATTGAAAAAATTCTATTTAAAGTAAATGACTTAAACTATACTAATACAATGTAATAGTATTATATTGAATTATTATTGTTTAAGTCAATTAATTTTAATAAATCAACTCTGAACAAGAAGAAGCAAACTGTGACTTTAGAATCAGCAAATTGTCACAGTCATTATTTTGAGTTATAAGTTAACTTGAAAAAACTAAATAAATTTTTAAAAATTATTTCTTAGGTCAGTACTCTATGCTCTATAAGAAGATGACGGAAAGGCATATGTTTGTAGGAAATTAACTGCATACATCGCCATAATGATTTTTTACTTCACATATCAACATTCATTTTTTTTCTTTTAAACAACAAAAAAGTTTTAGTAAAATCAAAAGCAACAAACATGATAATTAACCCCCAACATTTATAATTTTATATACTTAAAACCATTAAAGTGTTTAATTATTATTTTGAAGTTACAGAAAAAAAGGAAAAGCCATAGGCTAAAAAAGATAATCAATTGATTATATTCATGTAAGTTGGTATCATTATAAATATACTTTAACCCTAACATTTTTTTAAAGCTTCGGGTTAAAAGAACAAGTCTCATTCCCCCAAAATAACCAAACACAAACAATGTTTGCCAAACCTGTCAATCTGTTCAGGACACCCGGGTCTCCCCGGGTCAGGATAAAAATGCTGTCAAGGCCATCCCTGTGTTTGGTGACCAGAGATGCAAAGTATTTGTCTGGGTTTTCCACGCGGGCTCGTTCATAGGCCCCACTCAGGTAGATGACACACTGTAAGACAGTTATTCAGGTAAAAGATTGCTAGACCATGCTATCATTAAATTCTACAATGATTTTAAGATACAAAATTTAAAAATTTGTATTGTTTAAGTATGATTACTAAAGCTACCACAAATAATCACAGAGCTGAATTTAAAAAAGGGTGGTCTTGTCATTGCAAAAATGTTTACTCAAGTAAAAATTATATTTCAAGATCGGAGATGTTTAATAAGTAGCAGATCATGAAATGCCTGTATAGCTTTTGTGAACTTAACCTTGTTGGTTATATTTACAAAAATAATTTATGAATAAATTCTATAATTACTGCTAGAACTATAAATGCATAGTAATTTTTGCTGAAAATTCAAAATATGTTTTTTTTAATATGTCACTACCATACTAAATTCTGTAATTCTTAAGTCACAACAGGTATTTTAGGGTTAAGATGCATGTTAAACTGAGAGTTTTAAAAAATCCCAACACAAGCAAGGGAGGTAACTCACAAGTAAACTCTGTTCCAGCAGTCTCAAATCCTCATCAATACTTTCAGTTACCAGACTAGGCAGCAGGGACCAGAAGGAGTGAGTGGCCTTGGCATAATGAATAACACTGTTAAGCAAACAAATAATAAACATAAGATGCACCAAGTATGTAGGGGTGGGGGGGGGGGGGGGGGGGAGAGAAATGAGAAAAAGCATTTTTTTCACTAAAAACAGAAATTAATGTAAGAGTTCTAACCTAATTGACTCTCATGTCAAAAGGAGTATCTTTTTAAAAATTGTTAATTTAAGGGGGGGGAGGCGGTTGTAATTTTGTAACAATGTGTAAATCATGTCCTTTTGTAACACTGTGTAAATGTTGTAATTTTGTAACAATGTGTAAATGTTGTAATTTTGTAACAATGTGTAAACGTTGACATTTTGTAACAATGTGTAAAAAAAAGGTAAATGATATTTAATGATGACCCTATCACTAGATTGTTCCCATGATCAAATATTAAAAAATAGTTTCTAGCAATTGTACATTGTACAAAGAAGAAATTTTCAAACATGTAACTAATTAACTACAGCTGATTTACAAGTGTCTATCTTTGGAGTCAATGTTGGACCAGTCCGCCCAGCCAATCTCGCTGGCAAAGAAAGCGTTGAGGGTGATGACCAGGTCTATGACAATCTGCTGGGCCCAGGGTTGCTGTGGGAGGTAATTAGGTGTCAGTGAGGAGCCTTTACTGTGTAACCCTTTACAGTCTAACTTTTAGTTTAACCCTCACAACCTAACCCTCACAACCTAACCCTCACAACCTAACCCTCACAACCTAACCCTCACAACCTAACCCTCACAACCTGACCCTCACAACCTAACCCTCACAACCTAACCCTCACAACCTAACCCTCACAACCTAACCCTCACAACCTGACCCACACAGCCTAACCCTCACAGCCTAACCCACACTACCCAACCCTCACAACTTAACCCTCACAACCTAACCCACACTACCCAACCCTCACAACTTAACCCTCACAACCTAACCCACACTACCCAACCCTCACAACCTAACCCTCACAGCCTAACCCTCACAGCCTAGCCCTCACAACCTAACCCTCACAACCTGACCCACACAGCCTAACCCTCACAGCCTAACCCTCAAAACCTAGCCCTCACAACCTAACCCTCACAACCTAACCCTCACAACCTAACCCTCACAGCCTAACCCTCACAACCAAACCCTCACAACTTAACCCTCACAACCTAACCCACACTACCCAACCCTCACAACCTAACCCTCACAACCTAACCCTCACAACCTAACCCTCACAACCTAACCCTCACAACCTAACCCTCACAACCTAACCCTCACAACTTAACCCTCACAACCTAACCCACACTACCCAACCCTCACAACCTAACCCTCACAACCTAACCCTCACAACCTAACCCTCACAACCTAACCCTCACAACTTAACCCTCACAACCTAACCCACACTACCCAACCCTCACAACCTAACCCTCACAGCCTAACCCTCACAACCTAACCCTCACAACCTAACCCTCACAACCAAACCCTCACAACCTAACCCTCACAACCTGACCCTCACAGCCTAACCCTCACAACCTAACCCTCACAACCAAACCCTCACAACCTAACCCTCACAACCTGACCCTCACAACCTAACCCTCACAACCTGACCCTCACAACCTAACCCTCACAACCTAACCCTCACAACCTAACCCACACAACCTAACCCTCACAACCTAACCCTCACAACCTATCCCTCACAACCTAACCCTCACAGCCTAACCCTCAAAACCTAGCCCTCACAACCTAACCCTCACAACCTAACCCTCACAACCTAACCCTCACAGCCTAACCCTCACAACCAAACCCTCACAACTTAACCCTCACAACCTAACCCACACTACCCAACCCTCACAACCGAACCCTCACAACCTAACCCTCACAACCTGACCCTCACAGCCTAACCCTCACAACCTAACCCTCACAACCAAACCCTCACAACCTGACCCTCACAACCTAACCCTCACAACCTAACCCTCACAACCTAACCCTCACAACCAAACCCTCACAACCTAACCCTCACAACATGACCCTCACAACCTAACCCTCACAACCTAACCCTCACAACCTAACCCTCACAACCAAACCCTCACAACTTAACCCTCACAACCTAACCCACACTACCCAACCCTCACAACCTAACCCTCACAACCTAACCCTCACAACCAAACCCACACAACCTAACCCTCACAACCTGACCCTCAAAACCTAGCCCTCACAACCTAACCCTCACAACCTGACCCACACAGCCTAACCCTCACAGCCTAACCCACACTACCCAACCCTCACAACTTAACCCTCACAACCTAACCCACACTACCCAACCCTCACAACTTAACCCTCACAACCTAACCCACACTACCCAACCCTCACAACCTAACCCTCACAACCTAACCCTCACAACCTGACCCTCACAGCCTAACCCTCACAACCTAACCCTCACAACCAAACCCTCACAACCTGACCCTCACAACCTAACCCTCACAACCTAACCCTCACAACCTAACCCTCACAACCTAACCCTCACAACCTGACCCTCACAACCTAACCCTCACAACCTAACCCTCACAACCTAACCCTCACAACCTAACCCTCACAACCTGACCCACACAGCCTAACCCTCACAGCCTAACCCACACTACCCAACCCTCACAACTTAACCCTCACAACCTAACCCACACTACCCAACCCTCACAACTTAACCCTCACAACCTAACCCACACTACCCAACCCTCACAACCTAACCCTCACAGCCTAACCCTCACAGCCTAGCCCTCACAACCTAACCCTCACAACCTGACCCACACAGCCTAACCCTCACAGCCTAACCCTCAAAACCTAGCCCTCACAACCTAACCCTCACAACCTAACCCTCACAACCTAACCCTCACAGCCTAACCCTCACAACCAAACCCTCACAACTTAACCCTCACAACCTAACCCACACTACCCAACCCTCACAACCTAACCCTCACAACCTAACCCTCACAACCTAACCCTCACAACCTAACCCTCACAACCTAACCCTCACAACCTAACCCTCACAACTTAACCCTCACAACCTAACCCACACTACCCAACCCTCACAACCTAACCCTCACAACCTAACCCTCACAACCTAACCCTCACAACCTAACCCTCACAACTTAACCCTCACAACCTAACCCACACTACCCAACCCTCACAACCTAACCCTCACAGCCTAACCCTCACAACCTAACCCTCACAACCTAACCCTCACAACCAAACCCTCACAACCTAACCCTCACAACCTGACCCTCACAGCCTAACCCTCACAACCTAACCCTCACAACCAAACCCTCACAACCTAACCCTCACAACCTGACCCTCACAACCTAACCCTCACAACCTGACCCTCACAACCTAACCCTCACAACCTAACCCTCACAACCTAACCCACACAACCTAACCCTCACAACCTAACCCTCACAACCTATCCCTCACAACCTAACCCTCACAGCCTAACCCTCAAAACCTAGCCCTCACAACCTAACCCTCACAACCTAACCCTCACAACCTAACCCTCACAGCCTAACCCTCACAACCAAACCCTCACAACTTAACCCTCACAACCTAACCCACACTACCCAACCCTCACAACCTAACCCTCACAACCTAACCCTCACAACCTGACCCTCACAGCCTAACCCTCACAACCTAACCCTCACAACCAAACCCTCACAACCTGACCCTCACAACCTAACCCTCACAACCTAACCCTCACAACCTAACCCTCACAACCAAACCCTCACAACCTAACCCTCACAACATGACCCTCACAACCTAACCCTCACAACCTAACCCTCACAACCTAACCCTCACAACCAAACCCTCACAACTTAACCCTCACAACCTAACCCACACTACCCAACCCTCACAACCTAACCCTCACAACCTAACCCTCACAACCAAACCCACACAACCTAACCCTCACAACCTGACCCTCAAAACCTAGCCCTCACAACCTAACCCTCACAACCTGACCCACACAGCCTAACCCTCACAGCCTAACCCACACTACCCAACCCTCACAACTTAACCCTCACAACCTAACCCACACTACCCAACCCTCACAACTTAACCCTCACAACCTAACCCACACTACCCAACCCTCACAACTTAACCCTCAAAACCTAACCCTCACAACCTGACCCACACAACCAAACCCTCACAACCTAACCCACACTACCCAACCCTCACAACCTAACCCTCACAACCTAACCCTCACAACCTGACCCACACAACCTAACCCTCACAACCTGACCCTCAAAACCTAGCCCTCACAACCTAACCCTCACAACCTGACCCACACAGCCTAACCCTCACAGCCTAACCCTCAAAACCTAGCCCTCACAACCTAACCCTCACAACCTAACCCTCACAGCCTAACCCTCACAACCAAACCCTCACAACTTAACCCTCACAACCTAACCCACACTACCCAACCCTCACAACCTAACCCACACTACCCAACCCTCACAACCTAACCCTCACAACCTAACCCTCACAACCTAACCCACACAACCTAACCCTCACAACCTAACCCTCACAACCTAACCCTCACAACCTAACCCTCACAACCTAACCCTCACAACCTAACCCACACAACCAAACCCTCACAACCTAACCCACACTACCCAACCCTCACAACCTAACCCACACAACCTAACCCTCACAACCTAACCCTCACAACCTAACCCTCACAACTTAACCCTCACAACCTAACCCACACTACCCAACCCTCACAACCTAACCCTCACAGCCTAACCCTCACAACCTAACCCTCACAACCAAACCCTCACAACCTAACCCTCACAACCTGACCCTCACAGCCTAACCCTCACAACCTAACCCTCACAACCAAACCCTCACAACCTAACCCTCACAACCTGACCCTCACAACCTAACCCTCACAACCTGACCCACACAGCCTAACCCTCACAGCCTAACCCTCACAACCTAACCCTCACAACCTAACCCTCACAGCCTAACCCTCACAACCAAACCCTCACAACTTAACCCTCACAACCTAACCCACACTACCCAACCCTCACAACCTAACCCTCACAACCTAACCCTCACAACCTGACCCTCACAACCTAACCCACACAACCTAACCCATAAAACTTAACCTTTAGAGCCTAAACCAAACATATAAAAACTTTTTAAAAAAGATTTGATTGTGAAATATGTACAACCTAAAACATATCTGCATATACCATATATTGTATAATTTAAGCTACAACTTGTTAAAATAAAGCTTAAAACTTAGTAGGTAAAAAAAATATTATAATAATTAAATGTCTCAGGAAAAATATACAACAAATTATAAAAACAGTGTAAAACTAAGATAAAATATAAGCAGATTTTTTAATTAAAAATATAAACTTTCAAGATTCTTTCAACTATCATAGTTGTAAATTTCAAATTTGCAATAAAATCTAAAGGACAAATACATAATTTCTTCAATTATAAGCTATAGCTAGAACTGACCTCTTTAAATTTGGAACTGTTCAGTATGACTTTCAAGAGATCTAGAATTTTGTCTGGAATCTCAACAGCTTCACAAAAAGAAGCAATTTTCTTCACATCACTGGAAGCAGAGAACAAGGCAAAAATTAGGCAATATCTAGCAAAAAACTATTTTCTGTGTCTAAGGTTTAGAAAATAAATTTAAAATCACAATTAGAGATGCTTATAAATAAAAGTGATCTTTTCGATGAGCTTAGGGCATGTGTCAGAAGAGTAAGGGAAGGTCTTTATTAAGGCTTAATGGTGCAGTAGGGATAGTAACCCAATTGTCTCGAGTTCAAATCCGGGTTCAAGTCAGCAGAACATTCCTGAGACCATCCAGCTCTGACTCACGTTGGGGTAAGTAAAGGCGGCTGGGCATAGTGTCGTGGTCACAGAAACATGTGAACTCTACTCCACTTGCCCCATTTACCGTCAAGTAAAAAAAGGGAACTTTACTTACTTTAATGGTGCAGTGACGAAATGAAAAACAATCGTGTTATTGTACCATAAAAATGTGGTAGATGAAGAATCACTCACCACTTGAGTGTAACGATGTTTGTGATGATCCTGAGAACAGACCTCAGCCTTGATGCTGCCTCCAATAAACAATCTTTCACCTGATGAAAAATTAAAATTTAAACCATGTAGTAACTGAACCTGATAGTTTCTAGTTCAAATCCGGGTTCAAGTTAGTGGAACGTCCCTGAGTCCACCCAACTCTGATGGGTACCTAACTAACGTTAGGGAAAGTTTAAGGTGGCTGGACATAGTGCTGACCACATTATCCCTTTATGCCGAGGTCAAGAAACATGAACGCCACTTCATCTGTCCAATGGATCGTTAGGTCTAAAGAGGAATCTTTACTCTTTTTTTTAACTTACTGAACAGTAGTCGTTACCATGATGTTAAAATTTGTAATGCTTTTTACATTGTCAAAACAAACTGCAAACTGTTTTGTGAGTGTAATTCATTAAGATAATGTGCTCATGATGAAGAGCAACACACAACTAATTAAAACTAGACTACAAATACATCATCCAACAAAATGTGGTAGAAATGCAACACCAATATTCTTTCGTTAAAAAAAACAACTTAATCACCTGCTCAGAGCTGGATGAAAATCTGGCATGAAGTTTTTTAACTGTCTCCACATCATCCAGTAGCTGCAGGGTGTAGTCAGGGTCACCCTCCTGATCAGTGAGGTCAATTATCTTTTGCCACTCATCATCACTGTCTACATCCTGGACACAGTTTAAGGGGAGAAAAAAAAATGTTGGTATTCACCTCCCTTTCGAGAAGTCAAGATTAAAATACAACAACAAATTATGACAAAGTCTTTTCACTCATACTGAAAAGGATACAATAAACATTGTCTCAATTGGACTTATTGAAATCTTTACTTGTTATTAAACCATACTCTCATATTTGCATAAGCTGCGTCACATTAAACAACAACCATTAGGCTTTAGGTGTCATTAAAATCTATATGTATAATATTGTTATGTAGGAAATCTTTACTTTGGTACGTAGACAATAATAAGGGCATATATTTGAAAAACATTTCTGATGATGGATTTTTGTCCTAATATCATTTTTTAAATTTTATTACACAACCATTGTGTGTTTTTTGCCATCTGCAACCTTTTTTGCAGAGATAATTATCTTATTTGTAAAGTATTTTGAAACTTACTGGCATATCATTTTTTTAAATAACTATTACCCAAACACAGACCATTAAAGCACAAAGAAGCTAACGATACCCTAAATCCTAAAACAGACGCAAATAACAAAACCAGTGGGACAAATCTTCAATAGAATATTGTTGGTATTTCCAAGAACCAAAAGATGCCACACTTTACCTCCCCATCCAGCTTGACATTCTCCATATTGTTTGCCTTCTCTTCCTTTCTCTTTTTGTTGACCACTGTCCTGCCGCCCACCTCTATGCTGGGGTACTCCACCTTGTAGTCTTTACTGATGCGATTGGACCTGGGTGTCACTTCAGCAGCCTGAGCATAAACAAATAAAACAAATGAGAGTTATCTCTCTTAATAAAATCTCTGTACAAGTAATGCCTAGCTTGACAAGGAACAAAACTTAAGTGAGTAAGAATTAATATGTACTCATGAGTTTCAACTTTATATACAAATTTATTAGGAAATAACTGCCATTTTTATGATGAACTGAGTTCTTAAATTCAAATTTCAAACAATGAAAGCTAAGTATGCTAAACAAACAAAAAAAAATGATGCAACACAACTAATTTTTAGTTCAATTAAACAGTTCTTGTTTAGCTAGTATCAAAGTTTAAAAGTAATTTGATGATTACATGTAGTAATATTGGAATCAAAAGGTCATAAGGTCAGATAAATCAGCTGTTGTTGTTGTTGTATTTTTTTAAATTTGTTAAATCATGTTTTGCAAGTAGGATGATTGCCAAAGAAAATGTAAACAAATTATGAATAAACAGTAAATAGGCATATTTTGAGATTATAAAACTGTTTTAGCCATTGTTTGTGAAGAAATATAAAAGGTATAAAAAAGTGCATTCAATGTGTTTTTATTTTTTAATATTCACTGTAAATGGGAATTATATTTAATGAAATTTTTATATTTGCACCTGCTTTTAAAAAAAAAAAAATTTAAAGTATTTTTCTAAACAAAAGTTTCCACCAGGAAAATAAACATTTGAACCTTCTTTAATAAATTGATTCACTTATTTCTCAACAGATTAACATAAACAACGTATTTGCGATTTAATAGAAAAAAACAAGAATAAACAATGTGAAAGAAATTGTCCCATAATTGTAAAAAATATAAATTAAAAAATGGTAAAACACAGAAGAACCCATTAACTCCAAGAGAAAAATATGTGCAGACGTGAAGTAATATGTGCAGACGTAATATGATTTGTGACTTTTAAAAGAGTGCAGAGATATGAGTAGTACTGCTGGCTTAGCTGTACAACACCACAGGTTTAAGGTTAGCTTTAGAGGCGGAGTCAGGATTAGGGTTGGAGGTATCAAGTCATGTGATAAGGACATGTGACATGATTTGCTATGGGGAACTACTAAGCCAGCAGTACGGAACAGACAGAATAAGTACCTCATCTTTCTCATGGACCTGTGTGAGCAGTGATACAAAAGTTACCGTTATAAAAATGAAAGTTACACAGCTACAAAAAGAAAAGTTAGTTATAAAAAACAAAAGTTAGCCCTAAAAAATATATCACTGGGTATGGTAGGAAGATTTTCTTGTTACACCACAATTAAAATAATCTATGGGCTAACAACTACAAGAGGGACAGTATGGGTGATTAATCAAAGCACAAGTTTTCATGTTAATAAAGGAGTGAAGTTTATAGTTTAATCAAATGTGTTAAACTATTTTAACTTTTAAACTAAGTTTAAAGAGAAAAGACTAACTATTAAGGTTTTGAGATATCTAACACTTTATAGAGCTAAACAATTGTTAACATTTGTCTACAGGCATATGTTATGGGTAAAACACTTATAAATCAACCAAAGGAAATACTATTTCACATATTATACTATTTATTATATATCAAACCACAAAATAGAAATTACTAAAGTTATCAGTAAACTTAGTCATATTTAAGTCATTATTCAAATACAAAGTGGGAGGAGTTAATATCTTTCTAACAGTTATTTCTATTCACATTAGTGAGACGAAACAGGGCTCAGTTACTTTATCTCATAAGAGTTTCCATAAAATTTTACCTTGCTAGCCCCTGGGTCCTCCCAGTCTTTACTCAGGGCTTTCTCCTTGGCTGGGCCGTCCCCCACTGTACCATCCGCCTGGTCCCAGGCTTGCAGGCGGCTTTTCTTCTGTCTCTGGGGTGGAAAAGGAGAAAACAATATTAAGTTCTGTTAAGGTTATCTCTAAGGAACAAGAGCATGAGTGAAAAATTAATAAGCTGTGTACTATGCTCTAAAACAAGGCAATATGTATTTTACAAAATGATTGTGCAGCAGGGGTATAACCACTCGAGGGAATATTATTTTCTGATTTATATTATCATAGATCAATGTTTTATTAAGAAAAAATCAAACTGAATTTTTTTCTTTGAATTGATAAATCATTTTTTCCCTTGTATATTGTTTATTAATATATCTTGCGATCGTATTATTAAGTACTCTCCGCCAATTCTATTTTTAAATTGTCTATTTCCCTACAAAGTACTCTCCACCTATTCTATTTTATAATTGTCTATTTCCCTACAAAGTACTCTCCGCCAATTCTATTTTTAAATTGTCTATTTCCCTACAAAGTACTCTCCACCTATTCTATTTTATAATTGTCTATTTCCCTACAAAGTACTCTCCGCCAATTCTATTTTTAAATTGTCTATTTCCCTACAAAGTACTCTCCACCTATTCTATTTTATAATTGTCTATTTCCCTACAAAGTACTCTCCGCCAATTCTATTTTTAAATTGTCTATTTCCCTACAAAGTACTCTCCACCTATTATATTTTATAATTGTCTATTTCCCTACAAAGTACTCTCCGCCAATTCTATTTTTAAATTGTCTATTTCCCTACAAAGTACTCTCCACCTATTCTATTTTTTAATTGTCTATTTCCCTACAAAGTACTCTCCGCCAATTCTATTTTTAAATTGTCTATTTCCCTACAAAGTACTCTCCACCTATTCTATTTTTTAATGGTCTATTTCCCTACAAAGTTAGCTCTCAGTATTCATTCAAATTCATACATAGAAAACTTAAAACTAACTTAGCATTAGTTAGTTGTTCTTTTTTATTGTTAAACATTTTTTTTGGCATAATTTTTCTATAAAATATTATTCTGCTGCGTTTAACTTGAACTCACATTTTTCTCAACCTCCTCCATTGCCTTTTTCCTGGCTCTGGCCAAAATTTTGGATGTGCCAGGTGGGTTTGACTTGGTCTTTGTCTGCACCTCCTTCAGCTCCATCATGGAGGCAGACAAGGGCTGGGTGAAGGGGGAGGGCAGTTTCGTGTCAGCCAAGTTCACTGCAACATATTCAATCTTTTTAATACACAATAACTGCATTTACATCCAATAAAGAAATTATAAAAACAAGACATGGAGAATGTAACAATGCAAAAGAAGAAAATTTAAAAGATCTTCTTCTTCTTCTTCTTCGTTCTTAATTATTAGTGTTGAAGGGGATCGAGATTTATCTGCCAGTGGGTTTGAAATTGAGACTTTGTTCGAATTTATCAACCATGAGCTTTTTGCCGACTCGACCACGCCTCCAACACAATTAAGCGTTACGTGTCAACTGGTTATGCGCCATTGAGGCCATTGACTCCGATTTCAGCCTGCTTTTCTTTTTGGATTTGCTTCCATAGCCTTTGTCCAACCAAGAACAATCTACAAGGCAGCAGTTGTTTAATTTTGGAGTTGTCTCTCCTAGAAGAGTGGCTGTCCCCAGCTAACGAGCCTCATCTGCCCGAGGGTTCGAACTCGAGACTTTTCGGTTTAGCAACCATGAGCTTTACCGACTCGACCACGCCGACCCCCTATTTAAAAGATAAAGATATAAGAATATAAAGTAAAATAATATTTAAAAAACTTAGGATCTAATGAATGGTTTAAATGCTGTAGCTTGTATGAAAGATTAACATGTTTAAGTCACCTTTGACCTTATCGGCCACAAATGGATGATGCAGTAAATCTGGCCAGGCTAACCTACACTTAGGGTTCTTGTTCAGCAAGCCTAGAGAGACAAAAGTTCAAAGGTTAAACACCAAAGAAATACAACAATACATCTATAAATAAAACAAGTTTTTCCTAATTTTTTAAAAATATTTTTTAAAACACTGGCATATCCTAAGAAAAAAAGAACAACTTGATTTTACAAGTTATTTTATAAATTCAGACCAGCCTAAAATAAGTTCAACAAACTAATTCATTTTTAAAACTGTATTGTATATAATACAATGCATACTTACCCTGTAAAAAATCTTTGAACACTGAGCTCATTGTCTTTGGCCACTTGACTGGGTCTTTGATGATCATGTTGACCAGTTGAAAGATGCTGGTGGTGTAGAAGGGTGGGGTGCCAGAGAACAGCTCATACAGGATACAGCCCAGTGCCCTGTTAAACAATAGCTTGGTTTAACAATACATTGGTTTAACAATGCCTCAGTTAAAGGACAGCTTGGTTTAACAATACTTCTGTTAAATAACACATTGGTTTAACAATACCTCAGTTAAAGGACAGCTTGGTTTAACAATACTTCTGTTAAATAACACATTGGTTTAACAATATCTCAGTTAAACAACACAATGGTTTAACAATACCTCAGTTAAACAATAACTTGGTTTAACAATATCTCAGTTAAACAACACAATGGTTTAACAATACCCCCTCAGTTAAACAATAACTTGGTTTAACAATATCTCAGTTAAACAACACAATGGTTTAACAATACCCCCTCAGTTAAACAATTACTTGGTTTAACAATACCTCAGTTAAACTATAGCTTGGTTTAACAATACCTCTGTTAAACAACAGCTTGGTTTGACAATACCTCTGTTAAACAACATCTTGGTTACAAAAACCTTGATTAAACATCAATTTTGTCAAACAGAATCTCAGCTAAACAAGCTGGTTAGAAATACCCCATATAAACAACACCATTGTTCAACAAAACCTTAATTTAACAATATCTGTTAAACAACAGCTTGGTTTAACATTATCCCAGTTAAATAACATGGAAGTTAAACAATAACTTAGTTTAAAAACACACACGACTCTAACATACCTACTTAAAAATGTTCAAAAATATATCAACATCATATTAGTGACATTAATACATATTTTTAATTAGATGACAAAAAAAAATTTAAAGAATCCTTTAAATAAGAACAAACAAGAATCTCACCACAGATCAGCTGTGTGATCATAGGGTTTCTCCTCCACCAGTTCAGGAGACATGTACAAGGGTGTACCCTGCAGTCACAAAATTGTACAACATTATTTTTTTATGTATTTTAAAGGAGGTGAGTATATTAATGGAGGTGAGTACCTTAATGGAGTAAGTATCTTAACAGATAGGTATCTTAATGTAGTAACTACCTTTATGGATAAGTACCTTAATAGTTAAGTATCTTAATGGAGTAAGTATCTTAATGGACTAAGTACCTTAATGGATAGGTATCTTAATGAAGTAACTACCTTTATGGATAAGTATCTTAAATGGAGTAAGTAACTTAATGAATAAGTATCTTAATGGAGTAAGTATCTTAATGGAGTAAGTACCTTAATGGATAGGTATCTTAATGAAGTAACTACCTTTATGGATAATTATCTTAATGGAAAAGTACCTTAATGGAGTAAGTATCTTAATGGAGTAAGTATCTTAATGGAGTAAGTATCTTAATGTAGTAAGTACCTTAATGGAGGTGAGTATCTTAATGGAGAAAGTACCTTAATGGAGTAAGTACCTTAATGGAGGTGAGTACTAACGTATTAGTGCTCATCCCTCTGGCAAAACCAAAGTCACAGAGCTTGATGATACCGCCCTTGCCGAGCAGAATGTTCTGGGGCTTCATGTCCCTATGTAGGATGCGATGTGAGTGGAGGTAGTACAAGGCTGAGACAAGCTGGGCGGCGATGACCTGGACCTAGCAGTAGGGAGAGTGCATGTGTCAACAGAAGGTATATCAGACCTCACAGTGGCGTCGCTAGGTCGGGTGTCACCAAGTGCAGCACCTAATGGTGTCACACCCCCATAAATAATGTCACTCGTTGTGGTCTGCACCCCTTGCCCCCGACCTCACGACGCCTGTGAGACCTCACAATCCATAGGGTAGATGAAAAGGTTTTTTTTAAATTAACCTCTGCATATATATATATATATATATATATGTATGTATATATATATATATATATATATATACATATGGAATTTATGGTCTGAATTAGGCCTAGTGGACTTAACAGTCCCAGACTAATGTTTGGTACCCTATATGGACACAGTGATGTATGACAAACTTAATGTCAGGGAACCAAGATTGGCAATTGCCTGCTCTACTGAGTATTCCTTTTTTTTTAAACTAATGCTGATTATTTTTTAAAACAATAAATTTTGTCATGTGAATACTAATGGTAAAGAAATGAAGAGCTCTTAAGTTGGGAAGTGCATGCACCCATGTATAAACAAACTAAAGCTGCTTTATTTAAATGTTGTTGCCTAAAACAGGAAGTCCATTTGTTACTATGATAACCAGGTACCTAAGAAAGTTGTAGACTGCACAATCCCAACTGTTATTTCTCTCCAACCCACACTGCATTTAATGCCATGTGCCCTTTCAACTAAGTAGGTTCAGGTACATTATCAAAAACTAAACCACAACTTCAAGATGGAAGCGTTTGATCCTGGAATTTTTTACCTTTAAGACTGCATTCTACTTCATGACTATAACCCTTCAGCAAAAACTAATACAACTCAAGCATAGACTCTACAAAATGATCATAGCCCTAACTGTACTGATCCAAATCTTTAGATTACATTGAAACCCTAGATCTGGATTGAGCACAAGGAATCAACATTTGTACAGCAATGCTATTCAAAGACAAACTTATTCTTTTACTGGTGTTTACCTGTTCCTCGGGTAAACTAGCGTCGTCTTCCAGAATCTGAAACAGCTCGCCATCAGCGCAGTCTGTCACCACGACAACCTAGTGATCAAACAAGACAGTAAATTCTCACATATTGATATACTTTTATTATGAATTATAATAAATATTATGAATCTATTTAATTTTATTCTATTTAAATCAATATTTTAAAATAATAATGGCCTTTTTCATAGAGCTATAAATAAAAGTATAAAGATTTTAAAAAATTAGTATTGAACTGCCAGCATTTTTACCTCTTTATCAGTGTCAAAACTATCCAAAAGCTCAATAATATTATCATGTTTCAAGCCACGCATAATTTCAATTTCTCTTCTCAGACCCTTGAGCTCTTTTTCAGATTTTCCCATTTTTGGAATAAACTTGAGGGCCACAATCTTTTAAAATGTAAGAAATATAATGATAAAGTTTTATAAATTAGAAGTAAATATTATTGTTTTTATTTTCATTTATTTCATAAAGACAATGAGGGAACAACAGTTTATGAAAAATAGATCTGTAGTAGTATTTAACACTGTATTTGCATATAACAATTACATACAAAGTGTATAAAGTAAGCTTGCTGTACTGTATTACCTGAGAAGTGTACTTTTTTCTGCCTTTATACACCTTTCCAAAAGATCCTTCTCCAATAATTTCAAGAACATGATAGTTGTCCATTCTATTTTCTATAACAAATCAAGTGTTTCAAATTATTTTTTTTTAAAACAGTTTTGGTTCAATTAAATTAATTTCAAAACAAAAGGCCTATTTGCCAACATATTAATACTAAGTTACCTTCAATAAAAGATATAAAAAATTTAAACATTGCTAGTTTAGGCATTAGCTCAATATATAGTTTTGGATTAGCCTCTCCTCTTGATTGGTTTAATTGATGGTTATTGGTTTTGATTTAGAATCAGCTTAGAAGAGGAACCAACTTAGTCCTTACACTAAAAATCTAGCCAAATTACCTACCCTAAATAAAAACTGAGTCTTCAGCTGCTATTTGGAGAAGCTAATTAAGTCACATGCTACACAGGACCCTGAAATTAGATGGAAAAGAATTAAGTGATTCTGGATTAATCAATTACATTTTTTACACATGAATGAATAAATGAATAATTTAATAATTAGCACAAAGTGCCTCCTATTGGTGTATAAATTGGTGTATAAATTGGTTAAATAAAAGTTCAATATTAATGCCGCCATAAGAAGCAGTGGATTGAAATGTTTAAGCAAGATCTCGATTCCAGATACAATATAGTAAGTGAGTAATGTATAATTAAATTAACTAGGCCTATAGGCTTATAAACTATATTAATTATATATATTTTTTTTTTGCTCATTGCGATAGGCCTACTTTACTTTTTTAAAAATTAATTTTAGATAGGACAGTTGACAGTAAGACGTAAGGATGTACTTCATACTGGGTAAAGTGCTGACCTCACCATCCCTTCATATGCTGAGGTCAAGAAACATATGAACTCTACTAGACTTGATCTAGATATCCAATGGTCAATGGATCTCTAAGTCTAGAGAGTAAAGTCAGTAAAGAGGATTATTTCCTTTTTTTACATAGGCCTACTATTACTATATTACTACTATTTAAACTAAATTAGTACATTTGTAATGTATCTAGATCTAGTAGCTAGAATAGATCTTGCCTACTACTTGTGTACTAAATAAATACTAATAATAGGCCTACTTAATTAATTAATTACTATTAATGAGGTCTATCATAGTTAATTTATTACGTTTACTACTGTACTATACTAGATCCGTATGCCTGTGCCATGCAGTAGGGCCTACTATTCCCTTTACCCTTATTTTTATAGATTTTTACTTTTAAACACTATCCCTTTTTGTTATCGAAAATTGGTAAACTCGTACTTTATGTGCAGTAACCAATGTAAACAATTTTAATTTTGTCGCGAGTGGTTTAAAATTTCTATTACACACCAGCGCTGTAAAACTATTGATCTGATGTCTACTTTACTTCATAGCTATATTTTTACAACAATTCAAAATTACTAAATAACAAGAATGCATTGCATTTCTTGAAAATATGCAGAGCGTTGTCGGCACTCGGTATTTACAAACATTGAACAAAAGTTTGGCAGACATTAAATTCTATGGGTTACTCTAAAACATCAATGGGACCAACAGCTGAAACGCATTAAAAACAAAAACTATTAGAGAAAACAAATATTTGTTAACACACACATGTCTACTTATGTCTACAAATTATAAATTTCAAAAACAAATACTATGCGTTTGCGTAAAAATAGTAGCAAAACCTTTAACACTATAAAAATATGCTATTTCTAGGATTGAATTGATTGGTGGGGTAGAAGAGTGGCGTCTTAAGGTCGGGTGACATCTGACCAGAGGCGTAGCGACCCTTCCCGGCGCCCGGGGACAAACTTTTTGATTTGCACCCCCCTCAAACTTTCGATTTGCACCCCCCCCATCGAGATTTTGATTTGCACCCCCCCCCCCCTCGAGATTTTGATTTGCACCCCCCCCCCTCAAACTTTCAATTTGCACCCCCCTCAACCTTTCAATTTATTTTTCCAACCCATTTTGGCGCCCCCTAAGCTCGGCGCCCGGGGACATATGTCCCCCCCCCCGCCCCCCCCCCCTCCTCGCTACGCTACTGCATCTGACCAACTTCATCCAAAATTGTGCATTATCTTTTGTGTCAAGGGGTCGTCCATAAATGACGTCACACTCGTAGGGGGGAGGGGGTGGTCCGTAACTTTATGACGATGTGTGATGAGGGGGAGGGGGGGTCAGATGGTGCGACGTCACACTTTTGCATCATAAAAAGCAATGTTAGAAAACTAATTTTAGACGTTATTTCGCGTTTTAGAGTTCAGACAAGATTTTGGAAAAATATAGATGTTTTAAAAAAAATTCAACTGCAATTTTGAGGGGGGAGGGGGGTTGTAGGCTGAGGTGTGACGTCATTTTGGGGTGGAGGCCTGGCTTTTTGTGACGATGTGTGACGGAGGGGAGGGGGGAGGTAAAAATCGTCAAAAAAAAAGCGTGACGTCGTTTATAGATGACCCCCAACCCTTTCCTACTATTTTTCTATGAAACATTGTTTTGAGAGTAAATTTTACAATTTTTCTTTTGTTACCCCCTAAATGGTGTAATGAAGATCATCACCAATCATCCCATAGCCCTTATTAGTGTCGCTGGGGTACCACCGTTGACCTAGTAATTCTCCGCCATACATCTCGGTCCTGATTAGTCTTGAGCAGAGTTTCTTCCCCCCTCCCCCCAGAACGAAATGGAATTTAAATAGAAAACATACTTTTATCAGTGTCCCCCCCCCCCCCTCTCGGCAAATGTTGACCGCCCGCTCGAAAATATCACAATTCCCCCCCCCCCCCCCCCCCCCCCCCGGAGAAAAAAGTCTGGAAGAAACACTGGTCTTGAGAGGGGCAGCCCCGTCCAATCGTTGATGTCATCCAATCAGTGACGTTTTTGCCTTCCTCTTCTTCTCCCTTCTGACAAAGTGCCTTAAAATATTGTTTTTTGATAGACAGTTGGCTTGTGTGAAATGCCCATAACAACTCTTGCTTTGACTGTTCTTAGTAGACTCTCAAAGGGACCAATCTCATCAGAGGTCCTTTCCTGGACTTCTTCATTAGTTATGTGATCTATGTATGAGAAGCATAGGAGTCAGCGTAGACATAATTTCTAGGCCCTTGAAGTTTACGTTGAGGGTCAATGCTTTGCATCCATACAGAAGGACAGACGCCGCCAATGATCGCATCAAGTATTAGATCTATAGACTACAAGTCTATCGTAGGCCAATAGGAGTCCTACCCAGTTTAAGTTCGAGCCCATGGTAGGTTTAGGCTAAGTCAGTAGATGTAAAAGGTTAAAATGGGTAGCCTATTTTTGTGCATTACGACACAAAAATATTTCATTATTTAAATAAATTGTACAAATTGTACCATTATATAGGGGGAAAAATAACATCTTTAATATAAAGAACGCGTGTAAATCAAATAGGTAACCTATTATATGTTTAAACTAAAAAAACAACAACATCGCAAGCTAGTTTTAAATGGAAGAAAGTTTGCAGAAATAAAAATAAAGAAAAACGAAATGCAATGCTCGATACTGCCCTCAAACCACATCATAATGTTAACTGTGTACGCTATCATCATTAACCAACCGTTACCAGTTTGTGTATAAATCTATAGCCCGATATGTTCACGATCCCTCCACAAAAAAAAGAGAAAAGGCTCTAAAGTGATCTCACAATGTCTACAGAGTCCACAATAACCTAATTATATTAACCAATCAATCAATCAATAGTTCCTTAACCTCTAGCGTCGTTGAGGTACCATAATCTCATAATTTTCGGCCATATTTCTACATAATTCTGCAACCTGCAGTCCAGTTCATTCTTTGATGTTCTCCACCCAATGACGTCTTTGCTTTACTCCACTTCTCCCTCCTAGCCAGTGTTTGTTCCAGTGCCTTGTTTTTATTTATTTATTATTATTTTTTAATCAATTTATTTATTTTAGATCGTTGATTAATATGATATCTCATTATCTCAATTTCTCTCTTTTGTTTTCGCTTTGTTTAAATAATTCAGCACTGAGATTAAATTTACTAACAGTTTAAAATATTGAAACTCGTGTTTTTCCTTGCCATAGTGTACGGGAATGTTCTCCTTCGCATAATATTTTCCCTGAAACTTCAAATTTGGACCATATTTTTTGTGAATGATTTTCAGAACATTTATCACTAATCCCTTTGTATTAAAGCTGATTAATGTTATTATTATCTCCTCAGTCCTACAACTTGCTTACAATTAAATCATTATACAAATATACTACACCCTTTGACACACTTAAAATCATACTATGACTATGAAACTATTTTCTTTCACAATACAAAAAAGACTTAGAAAAACATAGTTTGGTCATTATTTACTTCAATGAACATAACTATAACATTCACATACAATGAATATTTAGGCATATATATTGGCTATACATATATATATATATATATATATATATATATATATATATATATATATATATATATATATATATATATATATATATATATATATACATATACATATATATATATATATATATATATATATATATATATATATATATATATATATATATATATATATATATATATATTTAGCTATAAATCAACATAATGAAATGATTGAAAGATAAAACTGCAGTGTTAAAAATCTATCCGTTTATACAACAGATGTTCGTTTGTCAATAGGCTTCCTGACATGATAAACATGACAAAAATTACATTCACCACCAGACGTTACAGAAACATCAATTTGTTTCTACAGAAACATCAATTTGTTTCTACAGAAACATCAATTTGTTTCTGGATTTTAGCACTCAAAGTTGTAATCTAAAACCTCATTGACGTCAGTGCATAGTCCTAACCTAGAATTGCAGGCTGCCAGGTTGTTTTTTTGCATTTTGAGATTAAAAAAAACTATATTTTAAGCTTCTTCAACGTGTGTTTTGGAATCCTTTTACGCTCCCTACTTCCCATGGTTTATAGTCTTATTAACATTTTCTAAACATCATTTAGCGAACTTAGATTATATACATAGTTGAGACCTTTAAAAATTCTTTAAAGATTTTTATTTGAAGGTAAAATAAATTATTTTTAAAACATTGAAACAAGTAAGTCAGATATAAACACATATCACAGTAAAGCTTTACGTTGTAACATTAATAAATATGTTATAATAACACATGCTATCCTAGATTATATACAGCTGCAAAGTTGCACATATTCTAAAAATTTTGGCGTGACAAAAATATGATTTACCTCCCTTTTTCAATTTTTTTTTAAAACTGCCTTTTTGTACACACATCTAAAATGGGGGGGGGGGCAGACTTTGTTGATTTCCCAATAGTGAGGTGAGGTGAGGTTGTCTGTGACATCAGATATAAAAATACATCAATGGGCAGAAATGGTAAGCAGTTCATTAAAAGTTGGTAAGATTTGTGTGTGTGTGTGTTTACAGGGGGTACCAAGAAGCTCCCGTTTGGCTGATCATTGTGTAGTAACAATAATCACACAAGGCTAATAGTATCACATTTTACTGAAGTGTAAAACAAAAATTTGAATGAAAACTAGCACAAGTCATTACATTTTTTAAACAGTGAACAAAAATAATTTCGTAAATGTAAATAGTTAACGTTGCATGAACTTATGTTTGAATAAATAGTATACATGACTTTCAATTCCTCTAAAATAAATACCAAACTAACCTAGTGAATTTTATTGATATCCTAGTTAAAGAAGTATTAAGAATTTAGATCTACATTTATAACAATAATAGGGCTTGTAAGTAGGTCACAACTTCTCGTTCTCGTACTTGCCAGCTAGTAGATTTCTAGACCGTAGACTTACAAGCCTCATAATCAGCACTGGAATTTGATGCTGCCTTCTCACAAACATAAACACTTTATTTGTGTGTGAATATATATATATATATATATATATATATATATATATATATATATATATATATATATATATATATATATATATATATATATATATATATATATATATATATATATATATATATATATATATATATATATATATATATATATATATATAATAGTTCTAATATACGAAGGCAAAGTTCTTGTAATTGTATTTGATGCCACCCTGACGTTTCTGAAGCTCCAGCCTCTTGGCCATCAGCACCTCAGACATCCATTCCTTGTGGACGGCGAAGCTCATCGGCTTGTGGGGGATGGTGTTGTAGAAGAACGGCTCGTTGGACTCCATGTGCACGTTCGGGGGGTCGGGCAGCAGGGCTGGCTCGGTGCAGTTGACGGCGTAGCTCCTTCTCTGCATTGGTTTCCTGGGTGGAACGGCAAGCAACATGTGCAGGCGTTTAGTTTGTGTGAGTATTTGCATATGGGATACACACACACACACAAACACACGCGCACACACACACACACAAACACACGCTCACACACACACGCACACACACACACACACACACACACACACACACACACACATCCCATCTCATCCTATACAATAATTTGGTAAGTTAATCTGTCCGTAACTAGAGTTTAGTAAAGATGAATAATAAAAGAAATACCGAACGCATAGAGCTTTATCTTCCCCCTCCCCCTATCTAAATTCATCATCATCATCTTTTCCCGTTCGTGCCCAAAAACACACGGGGCAGAGAAAGTAGAGTTCATCTGTTTTAGAGACCTCGGCATTGCAAAGGGTAGTGTTTTCACTCTCAGCACTATGTCCAGCCACCTTTCCCAAACCTGAGTTAGGTACCCATCAGAGCTAGGTGGACTCAGAGACGTTCTACATACTTGAATCCGGATTAAAACCAGAGTCGGGTTAGCAGTCTAGTTCTCTACCGCTAGGCCACGCCGTCCCATCCTCTTTAAATTACATGCTACATAGGTATGGTGCTGCTTATAGCCTCGTCAACGACCTACTCAAAGCCGCGAAAGACCTAATTAATGCCGTGAAAGACCAATTAATGCCGTCAAAGACCTACTCAATGCCACGAAAGACCTAATTAATGCAGTGAAAGACCAATTAATGCCGTCAAAGACCTACTCAATGCCACGAAAGACCTAATAAATGCAGTGAAAGACCAATTAATGCCATTAAAGACCTACTCAATGCCACGAAAGACCTAATTAATGCCGTGAAAGACCTATTTAATGCAGTGAAAGACCTACTTGTTACCGTCAGAGACCTACTTGATGCCGTAAAAGACCTACTTTATGCCATGAAAGACCTAATGAATGCCGTCTAAGACATAATGAATGCCGTCAAAGACCTACTTGTTACCGTCAAAGACCTAATGAATGCCGTCAAAGACCTAATGAATGCCGTCAAAGACCTACTTAATTTCGTCAAAGACCTAATTAATGTCATCAAAGACCTACTTGATGCCGTCAAAGACCTACTTGTTACCGTCAAAGACCTACTTGTTACCGTCAAAGACCTACTTGATGCCGTACGGGTCCCCGTGGATCTGCGCCCTCCAGCCGTACTTCTCTACCATGGCGTCATAGTCGTCCGTCACCAGATTTGACGTCACCGCCTCGTCCGGTGTTCCCAGTGCGCTCCGCAACGCGTTGACCTCATAGACTGTTGTGTGGTGAACTTTGACCCCCGTCTGCGGTTGGTCGACTGCTTGCGTGGGAAACGAGACCTGTGGCTTGTAACTTGCAACCTGTAGAGGAGGGTTGTGGGGTTATCGATGGTGGTGATGAGGTGGTGGTGGAGGCGACTGCAGTGGGGTAAAGACGTTGGTAGTGTTGATTGTTGGTAGTGGTGATGGTGGTGATATTGTTGAAGGTGTTGGTGGTGTTGATGGTGTTGATGACTAAAGTGAGGTGATGAGGCTGATGATGTATGCTGGAATCATATCCAGTGTTTCTTCCAGACTTTTTTCTCCGGGGTGGGGGTCCACTTGAAATTTTCGGGATGGCGGACTAAAATTTTATTTTCGGGGGGGGGGGGGGGGCGGAAACTGTTAAAAGTACATATTTTCTATATAAATTCCATTTCGTTCGGGGGTACGGTAGACTTTCTTCGGAAGGGGGGGGGGGGCGAAAAAACTCTGATCATATCGACAACTTAATGAAATGGGGGCAGTCACCCCATCCCCGAAGTATCTTTCAAGCATCCATTCGGGGGGGGGGGGGGCACCGCTCCTCCCCTCCGAAGTATGTCTACCATCACCCCACACCAGAATTTATAAAGTGTCCGTTCCCTCCCCCCCCCCCCCCGGAAATTTAAGCCGCCTACACTCCCCCCCCCCCCCCCCCGGAGAGGACTGAAAGAAACCCCGGCTAAGACCTAAGACTTACAGTGGATTCCTCTGGTGTAACTAGCCTCATGGGCCCGGCAGTGACAGGGCGGGACGGTAGAGGGGTCTTCTCTCTGCGTACAGTGGCGCTTTGGATTCTGGTGGAGAGGGAAGACATTGTTAGCTGGTGTGGGTGTGGGGGGGGGGACTGTTTGCTCTATTTTGAGTGGGTGGTAGAGTGGGTGTGAATGTTTGTGTGTGAGGGAGAGTGTGTTTTTGAATGTATGTGTTCGGGCAGATGAGGCTCGATAGCTGGGGACAGCAACCCATCTAGGAGAGACAAGTCCAAAATCAAACAACTGCTGCCTTGTAGTTTGTTCTTGGTTGGACAAAGGCTATGGAAGCAAATCCAAAAAGAAAAGCAGGCTGAAATCGGAGTCAATGGCCTCAATGGCGCATAACCAGTTGACACGTATCCTTAATTGCGATGGAGGCGTGGTCGAGTCGGCAAAAGCTCATGGTTGATAAATTCGAAAAAAGTCTCGAGTTCAAACCCTCTGTCAGATAAGGCTCGATCTCTTCCAACACTAAAAATTAAGAACGAAGAAGAGAAAGAAGTCTTCACAACGAGGTTTGAAATTAGGCTTTACAACAAAATTAGTTACCTGACAGGGCCCGTTTTAGCGATGAGTATTTTTGCCACTAGGGGGCGCTGGCACTACAGCAGGTTTGGCTGTTGTAGGTCTCTGGTTGCCTTGTGATGACCTGACGAAAGATGTAGCTGGTCTGCTTTTCTTGTCACGTGACATCTTCTCGACCGTTACCTACAATAGGGAGTTGCAGCATAACGTCATCCACACCAAAAATTTGTAATTAGGAGACAATCGGTGTTTCGTCAAAAACATATTCACTCCTCCATAACCGACTTTAATCCCTAAACGACAAAACCCCTACCCAATAACAAAAAGACCCCCCCCCCCTGTACTATACTGTCCCTCTCTTCCATAAATATATATTTGGATACTACACAAGGAATAAACACAACTTAATAAATCGAAGTGGCCGAAGAATAAAAACAACAGAATGGCTACAAACTACAAAACCCTTGCTGAATCTGGGCGCTCTTCTTTGTTGTGATGCGCTGCTGGCCATTCTAAAACAGAACCTGAGCCGTATAAATCTGGGGATGTTTTCGACCTGAGACCTGAAATAAAAAAGATCAAAATATTTTTATTTGCATCAACTAATAAAAATCTAAATCATATATCCCAATACATGTACATTATTTTGATATGCGAAGATCCATGCACTGGTTTTTACTTCCTCGTATACGAAACAAAGTATAGAGAAAGTCATGTAATCGTGCAAAAAAATCAAGATTTTTACGAATCGTTTACAAAGCTCGACGTTTTTACACCCCCCCCCCCCCCCCCCCCCCCCCCGAGTCAGAAAAACATAGTTTTGTAATTGTGTTCGCATGTCTGTGTGGACGTGTGTCTTAGTGTCTGTGAACATGATAACTTGAGTACCGTTACAGCTAAGTTGATTAAATTTCATATATAAATATTATATTAAATTTTAGTTCTGTAACAACTTTTCAGCTATTTCCGGTAACCGGAAGTCGAACTTATTCTACTTTTGGCTTTTCAAAAGCCTATAACTTGAGCACTGTTTCAGACAGATAGACGAAATTTCGCATAAACGTAAAAGATCTAATTTTCTACCTTCTGTCAAATTTTGAGTAATTTCCCTTTACCGAAAGTAGTACTTTACGCTATTTCCGATTTCTAAGAAAAAAAACGCATATGAATTTATAAAGTACTAATATTCCGCACGAATTGTTTGCTGTTCACTTGGTATGCAATTCTTCTTTTCTACGAGATTCTATTCTATTTTATTTTATTCTGCTTTATTTAAAAAAAAAAATACTTTAAAGGGCTTTAAACGCTTTCACCGGTTAACCCCCCCCCCCCCCAATACACCTCACCCTAGGCTACACGCAGCAACACCATTACAATACACACCCCACGCATTCTGTGGAGCTGTTTGCATCTGTCTCTGTTGGTTGAGCATCTCCTGCTGTTTCTCCTTGGGTAGGGGCCAGCACATCTCCGTTGGCGGCCTTGAACTGAAGTCTGTCGTGTCGTTGGCCACGCCCCATTGTGTCTCTTGTAACTTCCGGTGCGCCGCCCAGCACTCGGATGGTGTTGGTATGTGGATCTTGGTGCTTTTTGTGAACTTGGGGATGGGTACAGATTTTGATCTTCTGGAATAAAAAAAAATTCGAATTTTTATCGTGCGGTTAATTAAAATTTCGAATAATTAAATTTTATTTACAAAAGCAGTCTTGTTTAAGAAGATGCAAGCATTCATTAGATCTACTAGTGCTTTAAAACGTTGATATATATTTGGGGTCATCCATCAATGACGTCACGTTTTTTTGGACGATTTTTACCTCCCCTCCGTCACACATCGTCACAAAAAGCCAGCCCACCCCCCCCCCCTAAAATGACGTCACACCTCAGTCTACAACTCCCCCCCCCCCCCTTTAAAATTGTAGTTGAATTTTTTTTAAAAACATCGATATTTTTCCAAAATCTTGTTTGAACTCCGTCAAAATAAAGTATTTTAATCAATTCCTCTTACAATTTATTAAAACAGTTTTCTAAAACGCGAAATTAAATAACGTCTAAAATACGTTTTCTAACATTGCTTTTTTAATATGCAAAAGGGTGACGTCGCACCATCTGAATCCTCCCCCTCCCTTTCATCACACACCTTCATTTATGGACGACCCCTTTAGAACCAAATCCATTAATGAATAACGTCCTAACTCTAATACCGTAGTGTTAACACTACAGCATCAGTAATGAAAACCTTAAAGTGACAAAATGGTCACTTGATTTTTTTTAAGGTAAAGTAAGAAAAATGTTTTCAAATGTTACTAACCTGAGATCTTGGGGTGTGGGGGGTGGCGACGCCCCGGAAACGCCCCTGACCAGCAGTTCCGGTGCTGGGGGTACAGCCTTCGACTGGTAGTACATGGAGTTTCCATATTTGTAGAGGCATTCGAGGTCTGAGGGAGGTCAATAGGGGGAGAAGGTAAATGGGACATGGCACAACTCAATAGCTTAACTCAACACAACACTACATCCTACACAACTCAATAACATTACTCAACTCTACATTCTACACAACTCAATAACATTACTCAATATTACATTCTACACAACTCAATAACATTACTCAACACTACATTCTACACAACTCAATAGTATTACTCAACACTACATTCTACACAACTCAATAGTATTACTCAACAATACATTCTACACAACTCAATAACACGACTCAACACAACATTACATAACTCAACACAACACTACATCCCACACAACTCAATAACACGACTCAACACAGCATTGCATAGCTTAATTAACATAACTTTACCCAATTCAACAGAGTACTACACAACTCAACACAGAGCTACATAACAAAGAGTTACGAAAAACAAAGCACTACATATCTTTACACAGCTATAAACGGTTCGAAAGAATTTGATTTTTCTAGCAACGGCGTCGTAGTCAAACAATTTTGTATCGGTCAGCCATTCCCACGCATTTTCTTAATTTAAGCTTTTCAAGCAATCTCCTTTTATGGCTATGTTTAATGTTAGGTTAAAGTGTGTATCGGGGAATATATAAGCCGTCGTAAGGATAGCTAATTTAAGTCCTTAATAGAAGTACACATTTTCAACTGTACACAATACTATGTAGAGTCGTGTTTGTAATGTTGACCACTAGCTAGTGTACATAGGCAACTCTGTGGAAGTCCACACAGCTAGCCCAGTAAACAAAATTACCCGTCCACTTACGACCGTTAGCCCGTTGGGTCACCTCTTGTTTAGGTATGCCCGAGGCTGGACAAGTGCCAATCAGCTCTCCCAACAGTAGGTCAGCTTATAAATAAGTCATTGTCTGGCACCGTGAGAATTACAGATATATACGTGTAGCACACACATACATACACGTATATCTAGCACACACACACACACATATATATATATATATATATAGGCTACATATGTATATATATATATATATATATATATATATATATATATCTAATATATAAAGCTCAGTTCTGTATGTAATCTGTATGTCGTTGGAAGTGTACGAATTTAAAAGTTAGAAAATTATCGTGCGCATTTGTCTAAATTTATGAGCTAAAAAATTACTATTGAAAGTGTTGGGAAATAATTTTCATTTTTCAAATTAAAGTAATAATTGTCGGCATGTTCATTAAACACAAGTTTTAAAAAAAATATCATCTTTTACAAAAATTCTAATTATGTCTTTATTTAGTCCTATAGCACTTACTTCCCTTTGATAAATTAGGAAAAACACAATTACTTCCCTTTATAACTTTATAAAACCATTGCATTCCGTGAAAATAATTTACTTTTTAATTACTTTGTTTTGGTGTTGGGAAAAAAAATAATTACATAATTAGCGGGGATTAATCAAGTGCAAATGTAGGTATTTTACGGATAAGCTTGGAGTATTAAAATTGTTTATTAAATTGAAACAGGCGCGTTCGTTTAAGTGAGTGCAAAAGACTGTGAATAAGTTGGGGTACCATAGTCGTTCATTAAGCTAAAACAGGTGATTCCGCCCCGGGCGTTTATGTTCGCGTTAGTGTTTTCTTTGTGTTTAGGTGGGTTTGCGTTAGTGGTTGCGTTTTAATTTGGTTCGTTTTTGTTCTTTCTTTTTTCGTTTTTGTTTGTGTTTTTTTTGTTTGGGTTTGTATTTGTGTTTTTGGTTGGTTTTGCGTTTGGATTTGGTTTGTTTTCGTTTGCTTTTTTCGTTGATTTTTTTTTTTTGTTGGTATTGGTGTTTGTGGTTGGGTTTGTTGTTAGGTTTTTGTTTTCGTTTGCTTTTTTGTTTTTTTTTATTTGTGTATGTATTGGTGTTTGTGGGTGTGGTTGTGTTTGTTGTTAAGTTTTTGTTTTCGTTTGTATTTGTAATTGTGTTAGCGTTATGTTTGCGTTTTGTTGTTTTGGTTTTGGTTGGTTGTGGTTTGGGTGGGCAATGCCGGGTTTATGATGATTACTAAACACACAGAAAGGTTTTTCACAGAAGCCAGAGCAGGGCCTGGCCGGGACGGCTAGTAATACATATATCTAATATATAAAGCTCAGTTCTGTATGTAATCTGTATGTCGTTGGAAGTGTACGAATTTAAAAGTTAGAAAATTATCGTGCGCATTTGTCTAAATTTATGAGCTAAAAAATTACTATTGAAAGTGTTGGGAAATAATTTTCATTTTTCAAATTATAGTAATAATTGTCGGCATGTTCATTAAACACAAGTTTTAAAAAAAATATCATCTTTTACAAAAATTCTAATTATGTCTTTATTTAGTCCTATAGCACTTACTTCCCTTTGATAAATTAGGAAAAACACAATTACTTCCCTTTATAACTTTATAAAACCATTGCATTCCGTGAAAATAATTTACTTTTTAATTACTTTGTTTTGGTGTTGGGAAAAAAAATAATTACATAATTAGCGGGGATTAATCAAGTGCAAATGTAGGTATTTTACGGATAAGCTTGGAGTATTAAAATTGTTTGTTAAATTGAAACAGGCGCGTTCGTTTAAGTGAGTGCAAAAGACTGTGAATAAGTTGGGGTACTATAGTCGTTCATTAAGCTAAAACAGGTGATTCCGCCCCGGGCGTTTATGTTCGCGTTAGTGTTTTCTTTGTGTTTAGGTGGGTTTGCGTTAGTGGTTGCGTTTTAATTTGGTTCGTTTTTGTTCTTTCTTTTTTCGTTTTTGTTTGTGTTTTTTTTTGTTTGGGTTTGTATTTGTGTTTTTGGTTGGTTTTGCGTTTGGATTTGGTTTGTTTTCGTTTGCTTTTTTCGTTGATTTTTTTTTGTTGGTATTGGTGTTTGTGGTTGGGTTTGTTGTTAGGTTTTTGTTTTCGTTTGCTTTTTTGTTTGTTTTTTATTTGTGTATGTATTGGTGTTTGTGGGTGTGGTTGTGTTTGTTGTTAAGTTTTTGTTTTCGTTTGTATTTGTAATTGTGTTAGCGTTATGTTTGCGTTTTGTTGTTTTGGTTTTGGTTGGTTGTGGTTTGGGTGGGCAATGCCGGGTTTATGATGATTACTAAACACACAGGTAATGGTCTTTAACAGAAAGGTTTTTCACAGAAGCCAGAGCAGGGCCTGGCCGGGACGGCTAGTATCTAATATATAAAGCTCAGTTCTGTATGTAATCTGTATGTCGTTGGAAGTGTACGAATTTAAAAGTTAGAAAATTATCGTGCGCATTTGTCTAAATTTATGAGCTAAAAAATTACTATTGAAAGTGTTGGGAAATAATTTTCATTTTTCAAATTATAGTAATAATTGTCGGCATGTTCATTAAACACAAGTTTTAAAAAAAATATTATCTTTTACAAAAATTCTAATTATGTCTTTATTTAGTCCTATAGCACTTACTTCCCTTTGATAAATTAGGAAAAACACAATTACTTCCCATTATAACTTTATAAAACCATTGCATTCCGTGAAAATAATTTACTTTTTAATTACTTTGTTTTGGTGTTGGGAAAAAAAATAATTACATAATTAGCGGGGATTAATCAAGTGCAAATGTAGGTATTTTACGGATAAGCTTGGAGTATTAAAATTGTTTATTAAATTGAAACAGGCGCGTTCGTTTAAGTGAGTGCAAAAGACTGTGAATAAGTTGGGGTACTATAGTCGTTCATTAAGCTAAAACAGGTGATTCCGCCCCGGGCGTTTATGTTCGCGTTAGTGTTTTCTTTGTGTTTAGGTGGGTTTGCGTTAGTGGTTGCGTTTTAATTTGGTTCGTTTTTGTTCTTTCTTTTTTCGTTTTTGTTTGTGTTTTTTTTGTTTGGGTTTGTATTTGTGTTTTTGGTTGGTTTTGCGTTTGGATTTGGTTTGTTTTCGTTTGCTTTTTTCGTTGATTTTTTTTTTGTTGGTATTGGTGTTTGTGGTTGGGTTTGTTGTTAGGTTTTTGTTTTCGTTTGCTTTTTTGTTTGTTTTTTATTTGTGTATGTATTGGTGTTTGTGGGTGTGGTTGTGTTTGTTGTTAAGTTTTTGTTTTCGTTTGTATTTGTAATTGTGTTAGCGTTATGTTTGCGTTTTGTTGTTTTGGTTTTGGTTGGTTGTGGTTTGGGTGGGCAATGCCGGGTTTATGATGATTACTAAACACACAGAAAGGTTTTTCACAGAAGCCAGAGCAGGGCCTGGCCGGGACGGCTAGTATATATATATATATATATATATATATATATATATACTAGCCGTCCCGGCCAGGCCCTGCTCTGGCTTTTGTGAAAAACCTTTCCGTTAAAGACCATTACCTGTGTGTTTAGTAATCATCATAAACCCGGCATTGCCCACCCAAACCACAACAAACCAAAACAACAAAACGCAAACATAACGCTAACACAATTACAAATACAAACGAAAACAAAAACTTACAACAAACCAACCACAAACACCAATACGAACACAAAGAAAAAAGCAAACGAAAACAAACCAAATCCAAACGCAAAACCAACCACAAACACAAACCCAAAGAAAAAAACACAAACGAAAAAGCAAACGAAAACAAACCAAATCAAAACGCAAAACCAACCACAAACCCAAAGAAAAAAACACAAAAAGAAAAAACAAACGAAAACAAACCAAATCCAAACGCAAAACCAACCTCAAACACAAATACAAACACAAACCCAAAGAAAATAAAACACAAACGAAAACGAAAAAAGAAAGAACAAAAACGAACCAAATCAAAACGCAACCACTAACGCAAACCCAACCTAAACAAAAAGAAAACACTAACGCGAATATAAACGCAAAGTGCTCACGGGGCTGAATCGCCTGTTTCAACTTAATAAACGACTATAGTACACCAACTTATTCATAGTCTTTTGCACTCACTTTAATGAACGTAGGCGCGAAACCGAACACGGGAGGCCCGGGACCCCAAAAAGCACCCTGTCTGGGCGCCAGAGGACGCACCATGACGTCACCGCCTGATTGAACTTAGTAAACGCCTATAGTGCATAACTTATTTATAGTCTTTTGAACTCACGCGAACGTAGATACCATAGCGTACACCGGAAGGCCCGGGGCGCCAAATAGCACCCTGTCGGGGTGCCGGAGGACGCCCGGATTTGATTCACTTAAAGACTATAGTAACCTTTCTTATCCATAGTCTATCGCACTGTTTAAAACAAAATGATGCAGCATAGCGCTCACATGATAGCCCAGGGTGCCAAATCAAACCGTGCAGGGGCGCCGGCGGACGCGCCTGTTTCAATTTAGTGAACAAAAATGATAATACTCCAAGCTCATCCGTAAATGAAAAGAAATAAATGTATATGATTTGTAGGACCTGGCTTATTAAATGTTATTGATTTAAAAAAATAAATAATTATTGAACAGTATGTTCAGTGTATAGAATAAATAAAAGGCACTGTTAAAAATACCTAACGACATTGCACTTAATCAATCCCCGCTAATTGTGTAATTATTTTTTTTTTCTTAACACCAAAAACAAAGTAATAAAATGTTAATTCTCTCTTCTTAAGGATTTATTTTTCATTAAAGGGAAGTAACTGTGCAGTCAATACATTTCCGACACAATTTTAGAAATTTTATAAACGTCGATACACTTTTTAAACATTTTATGTCGTGTTCATAATTGAAAATTTATCTTCTAAGTAAATAGAATGAAAATTGTTTTTAAAGACTTTCAATGGTAATTTTTTGACTCGTAAATTTAGACTTTGAGCACGATAAAAAATCTAACACTTAAATCCGTAGAACTGTCAACGACAAACTTTTTTGCCACACGTTACAGAACTGAGCTTTATATATTAGATATATATATATATATATATATATATATATATAGGCTTATATATCGTTTCTCTGGAACCAGACTATCCTGACTCGACTTTTTAAAAGGCTTTAAAGATTTGTTTTCCTTATATTTTCTATATTAAGCACTTGGTGAAATTGAAGTGTTGTGTAATGGTGAGATATATGGCCACTATTTTTTTTGCTATGATGCCTGGTGTATTTTGAACACAACAGTGTAAATATCTCCAAAAAAATAAATAATTGAGTTAGAACGGCGTGCTTCTAGGGAATATATATATATATATATATATATATATATATATATATATATATATATATATATATATATATATATATATATATATATAAACCACATGTATGTAGACACAATAACTTACGGTAGGATGATGGTCTCCCTTTAGGTCTATAAATATCCTGAACAGACGGATACCACCCATATGTCTGTTCCTTCATGGCTACGATCCTTCTGAGGGCCTGGTAAACAACAAAATAAAAACAAGTCAATCAAAATACGGTCGATTCATCAAAACCCTTTTTTTTATACGTTTTCTTCTTTTTTAGCCAAACATTTTTAGCTTTTTGCAAGTTTTTAAAAAGATTAGTTTCAAAACATGCATACACCATTACCACAACAAATAAGATTTTTTTTTTAAAAATTTAACGTAAAAAGAAAATGCGCGAATTTGATTCGTCATCCATCGTTGCTAAGGACGCTAGCTGTCGATAACAGATTGCTATTTGCCGTAAGACCGAATCAATCTGTTCATTAACCGGGGTGTGTTCAGTGCGGCTGGCCACAGCTGATTTGGCTTTAATTAGCTGAACCAGTCCATGTGTAGCAATTGAATTAGCGGCGGTGATTGATTTCAACTAATTAATGGTCTTTTACCCATGAGTGAGTTATGAAGTGCAGTCGGTGGCGTCACCAAGGGGAGGGAGGGAGGGGGGGTGTGACAGAAGTAGAGTTGATACTATGAGTATGTCTAAAAATAGTTGCGTTCCTTTGCTCGGTGTTGCGTGAAATGCTAACAGTTTCTTTCAGACATTTTCCCGTGGAGGGCACTTGTAAATTTCGAGTGGTGAGGGAGGACTTAAATTTGGGGGGGGGGGGGGGAGAGATGTGGCGTGGACGATGGTTAAAGTATATATTTTCATTATAAAATTATCTATATATATAATTCTCTTCTTAGAGACGCTAGAAAACAAGCTGTAAGCGCGCTCCCTACCACCCCACCCCTTCATGGTCTGGTGAGCTGTGGTTCACGCTAAACGTATACCATCGTAGAGCCGGGTTTAGTGACGGCTATTAAGGGCAGATAATTTAATTTGAAACGATTTTAAACTTAGGGAAGGTAACTAAGAGGAGGCTGCTTTCACGGGGGGGGGGGGGGGGTGTGTAGAGTAGGGATTGGGGGAAAGGAGGGTGGGGCTAGTATCGTCCTTAACGAGCTACTGATAGTGTTTTAAAGCAAATATTTTCAGTGGCAGCATTGGTACTGTCGAATTCACAAATTATGAATTACTGAAAAGTAGAAAAAACAACAACTAAATAGCGGCGTATGATATGCCGCGAGTCGGCTCGTTATTTTTATTTCGTGCCGGGGAAGGGGTGTGTGGACTTGGTCTGGAGAGGCAACCATACATATTCTGTGTGTAGAAATTATTTTATTAGCAAAAAATGGGAACTTGGAAATGTTTTTATTTTTTCGTTTTTAATACGTGTCAACTTGTTAAGTGCCATGTAGGCCGTTGACTCCAGATTCAACCTGCTTTTTGGATTGGCTTCCATAGCCTTTGTCCACCCAAGAGCACACTACAGTAGTTGTTTGATTTTAGAGTTGTCTCTCCTGGCTATCGGACCTCTTCTGCCCAAGGGTTTCGAACACGGAACTTGTCGGTTCAGTAATCATGAGCTTAACCGACCCGGCCACGCCGACCTCTGTTGAACTTGATTGGCTTATGAAGTAGAGTTAATGGGTTAATTGAACCTCGGCCTGTAATCAGTACTATTTCCTACCGAATCGATTCCGGTACCCATTAGAGCTGGGTGGACTCGAACACTGGCACAAAACCAGTGTGTTTCTTTCAGGCATCTTTCATAGAGATTTCAAGTGTCTCCCCCCCCCCCACCCTTACTCAAGTGCACCCGGAGCAAAAATTCTGAAAGAAACCTTGCATCCAACTTGAAACTTTGATGTTGTTAAGAACCGAGTGCTAATTATTTCCATTACACCGTCCCTATCATGTTATTGTACGCCTTCTTATTTTCGTTATATGATCAGCTATGGATTCACCTTTTATCAATTATCACAAATGGGTAAAAAAAAGTGTAGTATTGTGTAGGTTTATACAGCTCAGTGCAGTGTTTCTTCCAGAATTGTTTCTCAGGGGGGGGGCACTTGATATTTGGGGGGGGGGGGGGGGGACACTGGTAAAAGTAAATGTTTTCTATATAAATTCCGTTTCGTTCGGGGAGGGGGGCGGTAGACTTTCTGAGGGAGGTGTGGGGGCTCGGCCCACCCCATGAAGAGATGCCTGGAATAAACTCTGGCTTGTGTTTTGTTGTGTAGTGTTGTGTTCTCTTGTCTTGTGTTTTCTTGTATTCCGTAGTTCTAAAATCGAATGCAAGTGCCATACAAGTTTATGGCACTAGCATTGTATTTAGTTTCATTGATTTTCCAATATTAAATTCCAACCGAAATATATTCCTAAGTATCATTAGGTACAGTTTTTTATCCCTTCAAACCTCTTCTAAATCCAAAAGTGAAAACAAAATTTTAATACTTGAATATTAAAAATTCTAGAAATGACATGCAAAAAACGAAAGTTCGATCTTGGGTCAAAATGAACAGCATAAATAACTAATAAACCATAAGTAATACAAGGCTGATCCTCAATCGTAAGAGGATTAGGCCTAATCTCATTATGCATGTCGGAGTATTGATAAGATATGAATTATGAAAAAAATATATTTCTAAAGCTGTTTAATGATTTGACTAGAGGGCCGCGTCGTGGGGACAAGTTGACAAGATGTCTTCACATGAGAAGTCAATAGATCAGACATTCATGTGTACAGAACAGACCAGACATTCATGTGTACAAGAAAACAGACTAGACATTCACGTGAATAGGAGAATAGATAAGACATTCATGTGTACACAACAGATCAGACTACACGTGTACACAACAGATCAGACATTCATGTGTACAGAACAAACCAGATATTCATGTGTATAGAACAGAGCAGGCATTCATGTGTACACGAGAAGAGACCAGACATTCATGTGAACAGGAAAACAAACCAGACATTTAAGTGTACTCGATAAATCAGAGACTCATGTGTACACAACAAAGACATGACATTCGTGTACATATTAGACGGAGATTCCTGGGTACACGACATCAGACCAGACACACGTGTACACAACAACAGACCAGATATTCATGTACACAACAGACCAGACATTCATGTACACGACAACAGACCAGACATTCATGTACACAGCAGACCACACATTCATTTACACAACAACAGACCAGACACACATGTACACAGACATTCATGTACACAACAGACAAGACATTCATTTACACAACAGACCACACATTCATTTACACAACAACAGACCAGACATTTATGTACACAACAGACCAGACATTCATGTACACGACAACAGACCAGACATTCATGTACACACTAACAGACCAGACATTCACGTACACACTAACAGACCAGACATTCATGCACACAACAAACCAGACATTCATGTACACAACAGACCAGACATTCATGTACACAACAGACCAGACATTCATGTACACAACAAACCAGACATTCATGTACACGACAACAGACCAGACATTCATGAACACAACAGACCAGACATTCATGTACACAACAAACCAGACATTCATGTACACGACAACAGACCAGACATTCATGAACACAACAGACCAGACATTCATGTACACGACAGATCAGACATTCATGTACACAACAAACCAGACATTCATGTACACACTTACAGACCAGACATTCATGTACACGACAACAGACCAGACATTCATGTACACACTAACAGACCAGACATTCACGTACACACTAACAGACCAGACATTCATGTACACAACAAACCAGACATTCATGTACACAACAGACCAGACATTCATGTACACAACAAACCAGACATTCATGTACACGACAACAGACCAGACATTCATGAACACAACAGACCAGACATTCATGTACACGACAGATCAGACATTCATGTACACAACAAACCAGACATTCATGTACACAACAAACCAGACATTCATGTACACGACAACAGACCAGACATTCATGTACACACTAACAGACCAGACATTCACGTACACACTAACAGACCAGACATTCATGTACACAACAAACCAGACATTCATGTACACAACAGACCAGACATTCATGTACACAACAGACCAGACATTCATGTACACAACAGACCAGACATTCATGTACACAACAGACCAGACATTCATGTACAAAACAGACCAGACATTCATGTACACGACAACAGACCAGACATTCATGTACACAACAGACCAGACATTCATGTACACAACAGACCAGACATTCATGTACACAACAGACCAGACATTCATGTACACAACAGACCAGACATTCATGTACACAACAGACCAGACATTAATGTACACGACAACAGACCAGACATTCATGTACACAACAGACCAGACATTCATGTACACGACAGATCAGACATTCATGTACACAACAGACCAGACATTCATGTACACAACAACAAACCAGACATTCATGTACACAACAGACCAGACATTAATGTACACGACAACAGACCAGACATTCATGTACACAACAGACCAGACATTAATGTACACGACAACAGACCAGACATTCATGTACACAACAGACCAGACATTCATGTACACGACAGATCAGACATTCATGTACACAACAGACCAGACATTCATGTACACAACAACAAACCAGACATTCATGTACACGACAACAGACCTGCTGCCACCGGCTATGGCAATAGAATCCAACACAGTCTTACACCAGTCGACTCTACGGGTACCCTAGAAAAATAGGACAACGGTAGAAATCGATTTGATTAGGGCTTGTTTGGGAGCTATTTATAGCAGCCGGCTAATGATAGACTTCGTTAGTTGTTAAAAAAAGTTATCGATATGTCGATGTAATAAGACATTACTCCAACATTATTCAAAGATCCCCTATATATATATATATATATATATATATATATATATATATATATATATATATATGTAATATATGTATATATATATATATATATATATATATATATATATATATATATATATATATATATATATATATGGGGAGCCTTTATGTATATAGATATATGTGTATTCATTACAAGTGTATATAGTACGTGTTCGTCTTAGTGTTCGTGTATTGTATGTGTGTGTAC